GGGCATTTCGGTGACCGTGGCTCCGTTTCCAGGGCGTTTTATTGCCCATAGATAAGTCGATAAATCTGCGTCTCAGCACGTCTCGAAAAGGGGAACTCTGTGTGGGAGGCTGGAGTGATCGGATTAGCCAGTGTGAATCATCGCTATTCACAACAGGTTAATTTACTTCCAAATCCACAATTGCTAGTTCGCCTTGAACCCAGGGAATCAGGATTCGAATTGACATTTCAATTTACAGTGAAATATTTCTAAATTCACCAATTGTAATCAACCATGTTTTCTTGAACCCATGTTGTTCTGTACAAATTCATATTTAAATGGATTTCTTCTTTGATTGGCCGCATCTAAGTATCTTAGTGAAACCCAATGATGACTGGGCGAGTGGCCAGTGAATTGAGCTATTTGCTTTGGTAGTCGTCCGTTAAACGGCTGAGCGTTGACACTTGGGTCAAAGTTGAAAACAGCGGAATGGAGAATGTGGACAATGGTCCATTCCACGTCTCTGAGCGACCGTTGTACATCGCCACGGCCGAAATCTAGACCCCATATGAATAAAGTCGTCAAATCATGAAGAATTGGTTGCGCCAGGGATGTGTAAGTTCAGCTGTCTTCTGTGCAATTTGTGCAAGGTTTAAAAGGGTGAAATGAAATGAAATTTCTCACGGATTTCCCCCATCTTCCACCTGCGCCGTTATCGGTTGGTTTCGACTCCATCACCACCTGCAAACCACACGTGGGCCTGCGAGTTCCAGCTGTTACAACTTATCTGCTTATCGCAAAGATTTATAAAAATTTATTTTTTTTTCTCTGAAATCAAGAGGTGCTAAACAATACTTTACCAAAGAACACTTTTTGGTATTTTTTTTTTCATGCAAATTGAAAGGCTGTACCTCTTTCTATAGTAGTTAGGAAATGTGATCTCGCTTGTGGTTCTAACTTGACTGTTTTGTTTAAAAAATTGACTTCTACGATGCCGTGACTCACCGAAAACGCAGGTAACTGTAATCTGAACTGCAGCCAAGTATGTTCATAACATGCACAAACTTGTCACAAAACCAAACAACTTTATCGCAAGCTTCAGTCACGTTAACTTGACATTTAAATTTCTTTTTTGGCATGTTGAATCCTGAAATTTGAGGTTTGCACCACTAGTAGTATCTATACTAGTCAGTACAATGGGTAAAAATGTGAAAGACATCATTATCGGGCTATTGCACATGGAATTTTAGATCCACCGTCTTGTCGATCGATAACTGGTCCAAAGGTAGTTGTACCATCACAATCTATTTTTTAATTGGTTGAGAGTTGGCAAAGTATGTTGCTGAGGCTAATAGCCAATCAGGTTGAGAGCCTTCCTCAATAATCGAGTCTTTGTTTCCTATTGGCGCAAACCTCCACCTCATGTTGATTTCACTATCCATTCATCGATTTAGCAAATCCGCTATTAATGTTGCGTCATTTCATAGGAAAACGACTTGTCAGCTGCCATTTAGATGAACGAATTTCGCTAACAGTAATTGCAGAGTTGTCCGATTGCAGGGGGGGTGTGGGGCCAGCTAAGCGTAACCGTTACTCTGGCGTTTTGCTAATTACAAATACGACCGTTTAGCTGGCTAAGAATCTTAGAACAGTAGAGAAGATTAACAATAACAGAAGCCTCTATCAGTAAACATGGCAATGACCAAACAAGTGATCCCGATTACATCACTCTTCTTTTATTTAATACCACCGTTTTTGCTCGTTTTCGCGTCCTATATTGTACGTGTTGGCTTGGCCAATCATCGATGGTTTGTAGTGTAGTCTTATTTAGCGTGTTCGCGAAATACCTCAATTTCACATAAAAACCAAGGTAAAGAGAACCAATTTTGCAGAAGAACTGACTGGATGGTGTGAGAATCTATTGTGTGTACAGTACCTGTACTAACGCGAATGCGAACCCCTGCGCAGGTTAACAGCTATGCTTTATTAAAATCTGATTGGGCCGTCTGCGAAATGAAAGACATGCTTGAACAACGCGTGGAAGTAACTGACGCAAGTCACTTCTGCCGCTAGTGCCAAATCAGATTCGGCAGGCGCTTGTTGAAATCCGTTGATAGCATCTATGTCAGTTTATTTCCTACTCATAACAAACTTGTTTTGCTACAATAATGTTATACCACGCTACCGAGGAGTTTCGCATATTTCTTGTAGAACCTTTTCGATTCGTGGAGGATTCATCGACCTTCCAGCCGTCTCCTGTGCCAACTGCTGAAAAGCCTGCAACCCTCGGGCAAAGCGGCGCCGATCCAGAACTAGTTGCCTCAACTTCCTTGAGCGACAGCCATCCGAGCAATGAGAGCCCTCAGCCACACACAATGCCCTCCCTCACGCCCCGCGTCCACCTTCCACAGCTGCGCATGGAAGACAGAACACGTCGGGCAAGACACGACCACTACTTCGTCTGTCCGAAATCCCCCAACGCCTTTTTCATGGGTGACACCGGACAGTCCTCTCCAATCTCGGTATTCACGACTAACGACAAGCCAGACCTGCAACAGAGGTCGACTCAACGCAGCAAAAGTGTTTCAAGGCTGCCGGAGAGAAAGTTCAGCAACCACGGGACCTTCAACGGGAGCGCCGGAGTGGACGCGGTGCAAAGCAACGCTTCAAACGGTAGGATGTACAGTCGTTCGTGCTTTCGCTACCGCAGCACCGATATTGACGTCGCCTTGGCGACAGCGACAGCTTCCCGTGAGAACCTAGCTGGGAGCCATTTTGGTGATGATAGCAAGAAAAAAACGGCGGCGTCTCTGTTCGACCTTTCTGCCAAGATCCAACCTCTGACAACGACCAATCTCCAATCCTTGAATGGCAAATCGACCAACTCTCTCCTCGAAACAGACATCGACACTGGCATGCAAAATGGCCAGCAGATCATTCTTGAGACCGATGTGGATACGCTGAATACGTATAGGTTAGTGGGAGGCTTCACGGGTTCAGAACAGGGTACAATTCAGTCTAACCAGGACAAAGCATACAGCCTGTTTAATCTCTCTTCCTACTCCAACTCGGGGCCGACTCGAGTACACCAAACAGATGAGTTGCAACACGAAAGTCGAGCAGACGCCTACAAGCGCACACAAAGTTTGTCAGGAATCGCCAAATCTGGTGATGGTCAGCGCTCCGATCAGAAGGCCGGTGCGTCAGGTCTGATCGCGCGATTAAGGGCAAGAGCACGCTCGAATCACGAACTGCGGGTCGCAGAATCACTCACCAGAATCCACGTTCCCGAGTGGCTGGATAAGGCTGACCTGTCGCGACCGATATCCCCTCAGCGTCGTGAACCCTCGCCCTCTCCGACTCGTGAAAAGGCAGCGTTGCCACGCTACGGGACTTCGCTCCCGTCGACAACGCTCCTCCAGAGCACAATTTCCACTTCTCTGGATGCAAAGACGAAAGGAACCAAGACCGTGGAAACGGTGGCGAAGCCAACCTGGTCACCAGCTCCACAGAAAAGAAGCGACTTCAAGCGTCCACTCCGACCCAGTCAGATCCTTCGCGAGCGCAACGCCTCGTCCGGCCCAAGACTAGTCCCAATTAAATCCTCGCTGCGAAGTTCCATGCGAAGCCAGGTCATCGGTGGGACCAACGACGCATCGATTGACCGTGGAGCTGTAATCAGAACAAGCACGCCTGGCTCGAAGAGATGCCCTGTCCGTCTAGATCCCGAAGACTTCCTCACACACGACGAGAAAGTTTGGGGCGAAAAAAGTATTCCTCAGTCTCTTCCGCCTGTGGTTTGTACAAACGGAGCATCCGCAGAGCTTGTTCAAGCCCCGAAAACCACTCCCACCGTGCCAACTTCCCCTCCCATTCCAAAGCCATCGCCGAGAACACCAAGTCGGGCCGGTCAGCTGGTTCGCAGGAATGGCGAGACGCATATTGTTGACGATGTCAGTAGCATTAAGATGGCGGATTCAGAAAGTTTGATAGAGAACCAATTTTACCAGTCGATGGACAATAACGATGGAGTGCAATACACGAGCCGCTTCGATGATGAAGGCATTTATGAAGAGGTCCGACGCCCGTCGAAGCTGATGCCACCGCCATTGTCTTTGCCACGACCGTCACCGCTGACTTCGCCAACTAGTACAATTACATCAAGATCGCCAATTCACAGCTCTACTTGGCATCACGCCGACTCGGATGGAGAAACTGAAACCATGGCAACAGATGGACTAGACAACATATCGGACCTTACCTGCCTGACCGATCTTTTGGACAAGTGCTCGGGTCGACACCTTGCCCTCCTACAAAACCGCCCATCTGCTCTAGAGAACCTTCTCTCACAGCTTGGTTGGTGGTCCAGTACACCCAGTGCAAAGCCGAGGCAACAGCTTCGCGGATCTGGTGACTTTGTGGCCCTGGCAGCGGGTCGGTTCGATCCCGACGAGGACAGCCATCGACACGAGTTCCTCTCCTTGCTCGCCAGTCCAGCAGGTCAGGGACCGATGATCCTTACTGAGTATGGCTTCGATCAAAAGCGCATCGGTCTCGATAGGAATCCCAAGGATGGCATGCTGTACTTGCACTGCAGTAACCCCTCGTGTCCGCGGTTGGGACCCACGAGGGTGGACAAGGCGCGTTCCTGGCGAACCTGCACCAACTGTTTTACGGCGTACTGTTCAACAAGGTGTCGGGAACAGGGCACTCACGCACACAGCAGTGTCTGCACCTTCGGCAGGGCACGCCTTGTTTGCGGCCGGATTCTGCACCAACTGGCCCCCAGTCAGCAGTCCGGCCTGACGGCTCTGGCAAAAGCTGGAACGACACGGCTTGGACGCGGAGGCATCGTCATCGCCTTTGCTTCGGCCCAGGACGCTGAATACTTCCTCGCCAGATGTGCAGCTCTCCCGCTGAAGCAGCAAAATCAGCAAGCAGAACCCGTTGCGGCAGACCGACCCAGTCCTTCCGGTCTCCTAGCTCCACCGATCTACCTCACCGTGGAGGAGGTGAGCAAGCTTGACTCGAAGTTGGCAGCTCCTTGCAAGATCTACAAACCGAGTGTCAGCTACGTGCTCATTGTGATCGTCTGTGCCTACGACCTCGAGGTAATGAAGTGTGGACGCGCTGTTCACCTGTACAAACAGTCCATCATCCTGCCTTTCCCCGGCGCCACTGCAGTTGACGCTCCTCGTTCCCAGCTGCCCCTTCTCAAGGAGACAACTATTTCATGGACCCAGCCTCAAACAACCAAGGAAGAGAGGGAGGCCTACTCCAAACGACTTCAGCGCACTCTCCGAGAACGTGGTGTGAGTTTGCGCAACAGTGAACCCGAGGTCTACAAACGGCTGTCTGCGTTCGTTGAGACGGGCGAGGCTTTTGATCCAGTGGAGTTCGATTTTCATGATTACTATTCGAATCAGGTGATTACCTGCACAATTGCGCCCATGAAAGATGCTGTGATTCGCCAGAAGATGATTACGCGACCAGATGAACGACATCGCAACTATCCCTACAAACAGAATCATAGACCCTTAAAACCGCGAATTGGGGAAACTGAGTTGTGATATTTCATCTCTCTCCTTTCTCATTTACGTGAACACAATCACACATAGTCTTTCTACGTGCTGCCTCTCCGTCTCTCTATCTCTTTCTCTGCGAGCCGAATTGTACACTAATGACTTCACTTATTGCTATCATCAATCTAATCAGTTAGCAATTTCAATTGTATATTGCCTTTGACTCTGTACTTATTTCTTTGGATTTCGCACTGAAAATAAACTCGCTAAGTCTTTAGTCGAGTTGATGGATTGGCAATTTGTCCATGCAGTTTCTGATTCGTCAGAACGGTGGCTGTAGACATTTAGCTAACAGTTTTTGAAAGAATTTAGCGCAAGGAGGGGCCATGAAACTCCGACATTTACCGAATGAATGGACATCGCTAGGGTAGTGATGACTTAGTCATGACCTCACGTTATGACGCAGACAGATTCCGTCTGTTGTGTTTATTGACAGTGTCTAGCTAATTTCGCTCAACTAACGTAGGGTTAGCCTGCTCACTGAGATTTCCTACCCCCCCCCCCCATCTGTAATTGAAATCGCCGTAGTATGACCTGAATAGATACTGGTATCGGCAAACGCCTCGTGTTGATCCAGGCACAGATGCGGGTCAATAATCAATAAACTGTAGTCAGTTGGAATCTGCATAGTTGATGACATTTGAAGTTGTCTTTCCCATACCAGGAGGTTACACTGAGGTGAACTGGGATTTCAAAGCTAGAGAGACTAAAACTGCACCCCGTTCCAGCGGTTGTAAACTGTTCGTGAGTGAAAATTCCACAATCAGGCTGATAGTGCCTTGTTTAAATCGGTAGGGATGGGAGGATGGATTGCGTCCTTAGCAAGTACTAAGCGATTTCTTTTTGGGCGAAGTGCACAAGAATTACCCTGTCCACAAATAGCATCGCGTGCCATTAAACCGTGCCTTTTTTCATTACGTGCTTCATTGGTACTTCATGAAATAAGCAAGGTCACAATAGGGTTTGAATTTTTTCCGTTAGTGTATCTACAACGCACTGGTTTGGTCTCGAACACAATTCAAATTTGCAAATGAAAATGAATACCTCGAGTACAAGGCCACCAGGAGGGTTGACTGAAGTAATCATGGTCTAATTATGATGGAGACACAGGAAGGACGTTAATGATGGCAACTGCCAACCCACAGAAATCAGAATAGTAAACTTATAAGCATTTAAGTGATTTGAGATGTTGGCCCAGTTCACGGACGTGAATTAACCCAATCCGTTATACAAAAAACAGCGAAATTGTTGGACGTTTGTAAAAATAAGTAAGTCTTAGCGTCTGACTTGTAATTGTGAACTAATAAACTCATAACAGGATAATGAAGTTGCCTGTCGCATATCTTTTATTATGAAACTGGGGATCGATTCTGTGCTAGTCTCTGTTACCGCGTCCTTTTTGTGTAACGAACATTGATTGATCTTATTCAAAGCAGATAATACCTGTCTATTCACTCGGAGTATTCTATAACTAGGAATACCTTACTAAACTACGTGAGCTTTACAAGTCTCTCCAGGGAGTCAGGGCACTTAAACAACGATAATTTTTAAAAATTACCGGAGGCTGACAAACATTTATTTGTAGGGGTGTAGTGGCTTGTGGTCTAGGCACTACCTTACAAACCTCTAGTTAACAGCACGTGACAACCCGAGAATGGAGAGAAGAGAGGCGACAGAGGACACGACAGTGTATTAGCGTCACGCCAGCCAAGTGTGTCTTAGTGTGTGGATGAGTGAACGGATGACAGGCATCTGATACAGTAACCAATGAAAAGGCGATGAGTCATTGTCACTATCAGGTCAGTAACCAGGGTTCACTCAGGCGCGATCGCTGTTAATCCGCCACAGGGATCCAGCATTCCACATGACGGCTCTCTGTGGTTTAGGATTTTGTCGTTGACTTAATGAAGTGGGCACATTCTGGCAGGTCGCTCGGCCTTCGGCTGAAACAGTAAAAGCCCTCTGCACTAGGTCCTGTCTTGTCATGCATCACGCCGGGAAGGCGGGGTCTGGCGTCAGGCAAGGGACCTGGGGTACCCGTTATCTGAGTGTGTGGGTCTGGTTACGGGTGCTAAGCAACATTCTTTCAGCAATTAGTTGCTAATTGATCATAGGTATGGTGAAATGAGCCAGCAATCGCAATTCCAAACAACGAACTGCGCTATTCAGGTAGTGCGTGCTAATTTGGCAAGGCCATAATGTTGACGCAACTAGGCATCGCTCACAAATAGACAAATGGAAGGGATCCTTTTGACCAGCAAAAGTTACCTCGTGCCATTTCACGTGTTGCAACGAGAGCTAGGACGTCACGTTTACCCTTAACCGTGTACCCTCTGCATTATTTTACAATAATTGTACGTGGGCTTCCGAATTGGCAAATTGGATGTGTCGTAGGATGATGTCCTCTAGTCAAATGTTTGCAGATTTGACTGGGATGTCTGCCTCAGATCCGTTTACTTAAGCGGTCAAAATTTTAAGTCACAGTTAGCTGACAGCTCACGCCTCTAATTTGTTCCTACGACCAAAAGTACCTGAGACCCTCCTGTGAGACTAATCCTCAAAACCACACTTAAACTGTCCAATACAATTCTATTGTTATTGGACACCCACGGAACATAGTCACAGAGAGGACGGTAAAACAACAGCGCAACCAGACAGGCACAACTGTTTTTCCATACGCTGGTCATGAAAGTGCGTCTCGCAGTCAGTAAATTTAGAGGAATCAATGAATGGATTTGTGATTGATTAACTTATTTTGAACTAAAAGCGTCCGTATACCATTTGATTATCGACCACCAAATATGCCCGAATTCATTACGATAAAAATGACAACGCAGCAAGACACATAACCGTTTTCTAGTCGAGACAAGGACGTGTCTTAAACCACAGTGACTGCGTAAGTCGTCGAGTTGGGGAATCGTTAATCCCTGCCAGGCAGAAGCATTTTCAATCATTCTTAAGCTAGCCGATTGCCAAAAATAGCACTCAGTAAAGTGTGTGGTGATTTGGCTATTGGAATCTGTGTCTAGGTACATAGGTTCAAATGGCGTTTCCTTCTTTGTTTCCAAGATTATTTATTTTTGATGACAAAACTTTGACCATATACTAATTTAATTACAAACACAAAAAATTTGAATCCAATATCACGATGAATGATGAAAATTATAAGGTACTTAGATTTTTATGAAGAAATAAATGTTTTCAAAATGTAAAGCCAACTTATTTGTGTTACTAAGGTGGCGGTTTTGTCCACATAGAAATAATATATTACTGTTTTTATTATTCATGACAAGGTCGAAATTCACAAAAGCCACATTTCCATAACAATGGTAGCTCAAAATTCCTATACCAAATTTATAGTCAAGACAATTACATGACAAGATGACTTCCTCGTTTGGAGAAATGCCGCCTACTTTCGCAGCGTCTTCAGTACAAACATAGAAATGCAGAGTTAGTTTTGTAAGCAAAAGGATAGTGCTCTAAACGGTAAAGTAGTCATCAGTAAATTTAGTATTCATTAAAAGTAAAAGGTTAGTCTCGTAATGTATATTTGTGCCGCACTTTCTGCTGTATTGGTAACACTCGAACGAAAAAGTGATGCCTAGGAAAAATGACTAGCCAATTTTCGTGCAACCCGCAGCTTCCAAAATCAGTTTAAACAATGAAGAGAGCTTTTAGTTATCTTTAAGTGCTTGAATGAAACATAAAGAAGTTCAAATGCCATTCACCTTGTTGCTCATCGTGTTTATTCAACTCCTTAATCCGATCGTTTCGCCTCCTATACAAGGCTCCCCTTCTCGAAGCATGGCGACAACCGCGCAAATCCTCAACCCCCCTACATTCACACGTATATGTACCTTGGATTAACCTCACACCTAGATCTCGATGTTAGCGCATCTATGACTCACGCATCCGAGGTATAAATACACACTCTCAAACCCGACACAACGACACCAATTCTGGTTGAGCTCTGAAGTGAACGGTTTTGTTCTGTCCTCTCCAGTCTTCTTCTTCATCGCGGGCATCAAGCAATCGTAATCAGGCCAGGGTTAATTCAGTGGCCCCAGCATGGTTCAGGACCACATGCTGGGGCCCACAACAACCTAAACAAAAGGTTTAAAATACACTTTTAATAAAACACGCAGCCACAGCGGCTATCCTGTTTAAGGGAATTTATTAGAATTTCAGCAATATTGTATGACGCGAACAAGAGATTCTCATCATATACTACTTGTCTTGTTCATTTTCCATTATAGTGCGAAACATTGGAATTCCGGGTCTAATAAAAGTATTATTTTTGGCAATAGAACAAAAGCACGATGTACTTCACAATGATGTCCTTGAATAACTAAATTTAGCAGTTAAAGACGTATGTAAGCAGCGTCAACGAGGCAACAAATGAACCGTCTAACACATATTTTTTTATCAGTGCTTCCTACTTTTTTAATATCTGTGATGCACAAATAACTATTTTTTGTTGGAAAATGCATCAGTAATATTGGTGCTATGAACATCAGATCTTACTGGAGCCTTTTTAAATGTTTGGAAAACAGTCTTTGAACTTATCACATCAAGATAATTTTAACGTGCCCTGCTTCTTTGTATAATTCAGTTTCTGCATCATTTTTGGTGGAGTTGCATAAGTTATCCTTAATTACATTTATAGACTTTGCCCCTTTTAGCATATATCTTGGCTAGCGTGTTCTTCATGTATGTCATTCTCAATCAGGGTTAGGTAGGAGAGGCATATTTCTAACAATATTTTTGTACTTTCGAAAATGTTCATCAAAAAATTTACTGGTTAAATATATTATTCAAATTGTTTAAAAATGTGCTTTACCAATGTTAACATAATTCTATGCTAGAAGAATAATTGTGTTATGACGAAATGGAATAATCCAAGTAATCAGGTACTAAATGATAAACCTTAAATTTTAATGTTAATGTTCTCCAAATATCTTACAATGCAATGAGAAATTTTCTTGCGTTTCAGTAACAAATAAATGATTAAATGAAGGGGTGGCAACCGCGGCTAGGTTTTCTAGCCCATATCTTCAATTTAGGGTTAACTAAGCCTGTGTACTTTTGGGGACGTGACGATGGAGCGGTATATGGCAGATGTTCCCGCTGATGACGACAACACAAGCTCCGGAAAATTTTTTAGGGTACTAAGCATTCCATATATTGAATTCTGTAGACATTCCAGAACTTATTTGATAAAATTGTCCCCTTCACTGTTACCCGATGGTTCTTCTTTGCTTTCATCTTAACTTTCTACATTCTTCGTGTGGCATATCTACAGGTAATGTTTCTTTTATATTTTAGTTCAGGGGTTCTTTGTGGTCTCTTATGCTTTAGCCATTTTCATTCTCAGCCAATTCCTTGGCTTCCTGACACCTCAATTTCAATCGAATGGTTGGATTTACATTAATGGACGTTCCTAATCCCATTATTCTAGGTGACCCACTTCTACCAACAAATTCTGATGGCGAATTCAGGCCCTTTATGCGGCGGCTCTCTGAAATTAAGTTCTGGCAAGTTTTTCACATTTTTCTGAAAACTAATTTGTAGGAAGAATTGTACAATCGCCACGCTGTTATCTATTGTGTGTACCTTCTTCTCATTTTTTGATCTTCCGGTTTTCTGGCCAATTCTAGTGATCTACTTCTTTACTTTGTTTTACGTTACCATGAGACGACAAATCGAGGTATGTCTGATTCAAGCTTTGCGTTTTGTTTACCCTTAAAACTGTTAGTTTGAATATTTTGTTTGTTCCAAGACGTGTGAGATTTCGCTTACTAACTATGTGTGTTGTTGTTGAGTATGTCGTCAGATTCTGCAACCCCTGACTCCATTTTCTTAAGTAATTCAGAAAAAGTACACACATTATTATGGTTCAGCAGGTTTTCGATGGTGCTTAGTGAAATCTTCTTAAGGAATATTTAACCGCGAGAATTTAGATTCTAAACTTCGTCCTGTTTAAATCGATTTGATTGAAATCAAAATTGCAGTTTTTCTAGTTTTGAAATGCTTGTTTTAATTATTCACTTTGAGTTATATATTTTGCCCACCGAATACACTATTATTAAGCCTTGTGCATTGCCGAAGAGATTCAAACTTAAGCCAAAATTTCATCGCGTATATTCGAACACAGGCCATCCGCCATTTTAAAACATCAAGTGTAAAAATGCCTAGTCCTTACTACTTATTTGGTTGTAATCTTAGGCCGCCAATCACTAGTTTTACAAAGCTAGGTACATGAAGTTTATTGGATATGAGAAGCCTCGGGGCATCTGTATGACTTTGAGCTTGCTTTTAGCATATGATCCGCTACAAGTACTTGCCCTTCACCTACGGAAAACCTCGGCCCCAGGGCAAGACCGCACAGGGCCCGTTGCGCTCGATTTAGGGTCCTCACAGGCAGGAATTTTGCGACGACGAAGTCTTTCTGCGCGAACGCTTGCTGTCAACGCTACGCTCGAATTCTGCCTCAGTGTCTCCTCCCCCCCGCTTCTTCTTCGCCTCCCACCCTCCTGTATATGTGTGCTCTTTTTCGCTCTGTGAGCTTAACGGAAGCTTTGCATGAATCGCTCTCCTGTTATTACTCGCAACCTGGCAACGCCGATACTCTCCACACAAGCTGATTCTCTTCAGGGTGAATAGAAAATTGATGCCTACCACTGATCAGGACACCAAATCTGCTCACGTGGCAGGCCGGCTCTGCAATCGTTTTTTTTCTGCTTTGGGGGAATAAGACCTGTCTGGGGACTCCCTAACCAACTAGATTTCACGACGCCCTTAACCTCGCTATTAAACGGTAGCCTAACTCGACGCCAAGATGCTCGCAGTATCTCCCGAACCCACTACAAGATAATTTACATGCCAACCTGTGCCAGTTCAGGAGTCTGATACTGCACCGATTGACTAACACGCTAACGTCAATCGGTACTCATTGAGACTGACGTTTGCTTTGTGCCGGCGAAGGTTACGTCCAGAACCCTGAATCAGCTAGAGGTAAGTCACATGTGATTACTTGGTTTAGCAATCGGCAGACGACCTTCCATGCGTAAATTGCAAATTCAATTAACGGCAGTTTACATAACAGTAGTGCAGTGAAATAACAGACAGATCGGTGGGAATATTAACACATAACACTTTAACAAGAAGAAAAGTTAATGGAACAACAAACTGGTAAGTCCAATGGGGCTTTAGTACACTGAAGCTGGGCGGCAAGCGCGATCCAACGCGCACACTTCTGCGCATTTTGAAATGAGAAATGTTAGCAAGGAATACACAAGCAAAGGAAGACAAGCCAATGCAGGCTCACAGACGGTTATTTACACATTGAAGGGTGCGCGAATGGTACCGAAGTGCCGGTGATTGTCGATTATCACCCTCGCCTCGTCTCATCGAAGGCTCCTCAATCGACCAGACGATCTGCGCGTTCGTTCTGAAGAGTTCTCGCCAGACGGGCCCCCAGACCGCTTCTTCGGCGAGAGCATCTCAGAAATTGCAGCGAAGGCTAAGCAAGATGTTAAACGGCAGAAGTGAGAAGCTAGACAGCTAAGTAGCCGGACACAGGTCAAACCGTGGGAGGTTGTCGAGTCTAATTATAGTTTAACTTTCTCGCGTAGACACAATATCGGGGTGATTGTCCACGGCCTTGTCCTCGACTACGGACGGTTTAATCAGGCGGGAGGCCGTGGGGTTAATTGTCACGTGACTCGCTCCATTCGGGTAAATATCATTGCTTGGAAAGCACGCAAACGCTGCCAAGTGTACGAAGAAAACTCACTCGAATCATCACGTCTAACTCCGAGACCAACAACGTCGTTGGTCAAGCCAGAATGAAGAACATCAGGAGCTGGAGCATAATGAGATTCGCTACCAGTTCTACAACAAAAGAAGAGGTCAGCTGAGTTGCACGCAGGTTCAGCCGAAATTGCAATTTCAGTCTTTCAGTAGGACACTGTAAAATGCACGTAGACTGAGTGTCTGCAGAATGAAAATCGGGACATTTTCATTGGCTTCTAACGGCATATTTGACCGCAGCATCTTGCCAGCGGTAGGCAGATTCGGTCAGCTAACGCAAATGAAATCACACATCTGAACGCACTCTCCCCTACTGGTAGTCACTGCTTCCGCATAACTGAACGAGAATTTGCCGGGGAACTGACATTTGCACCGACGTAGCGTCCATCGACAGTTGGTCTAAGTTTGAAGCTGACTTACTGCGAGAGGCTAACTGGAGGAGCTTGATTGGAACCGGCCAATGGCAGCTGGTCCCATCTGCATTACCATATTTAAATTGGACGAATTAGTGAAAACGGGTGTAGCATTCATCAATAAGCTACCCCGAGGCGCTTGCGTGTTGCACAAATCACGCATGGCACACCATCTTACTTCACAGCCACAACTGTTCGACCGCGGAGGTTCCACTTGACATCAGCGGCCTGCAACGTGTCATCGTCGGACATACCACCGGGCGCTGCTGGAGCGCCGGACTGGGGCGCACGCTGGCCACCGCCGCCCCCCTGAAGCGTGTCTTCATCGGCCTCCAACTCCAACGAAGTCTGCGTCTTCCTCCACGCGTCGACAATGACAGGCGCAGACGAGAGTTGAGCTTCCTCCGCATCACCACCAGCGGCTTGGCTGGAGGGATGCCGAAGCATTGTGCCGCCTTCAGTGCAAGGAGATGGCGAAGAGGCGTTTGAAGTTACTGAAGACATCGACACGTCGGTTGTCGCAAGGGACCTCCAGGTCTCATTGAAACTAAAATGTTTAGTAAAATACCATCCCATGTTGATAATCTCAGCCGCAATAAGAGAGTCATTGCCGAAGACCGAGGGACAAAACAGGCGACGATTAGGTTTTGTGAGCCACTGACAGTCCTACACACATGACCGTGCTGGCACTCAACTTCGTAAATGATAAATGAACTCCTGAATCTGTGACACCCGCATTCTGGAAGGCTCAAGGGTGGAGTTAAAACTGGGCGTAAATCCAGAAAAACAAAAATGTCCTTTTAGCTAAAGCCCAGGAAATGATAAGGCAATTTATCGTAACAACCAAGTAATGCGTTGGATACGAATTAGAGATGAGAAAAGACACCTATGGAACCTCCGATAAGTCGAAAATCACGTCTTCGATAGCACAAAGAGGCTCGATCTCAAGACACGGATGTTTGATGCTTCTCATGACCACGGCATTACTGGTTTTATATTCGACCGCAGTAAACTCTATCAAACTTCGTCTTCCCGTCAATTTCACAGGCAGTATTCTTCTAATAACTACGTATTACTTCTAATTTTGGCATGTCGGATAGTCCACGCATACAGGCATTCAAGATCAGTCGTAGTCGACAATCAACCCTCGGACAGACGTCGAATAGGACTTACTCAGGATTATCGTAGTTGTGGAGATGCTTCCGCCATTTTCTTATCATTCCATCCCAGGCGCGTCGCGAAACCTGGCGGAACTTGTTGGGGGTTCGTGGGTGGTGCTTTTGGCGCTCGGGTTTCGGTATCGTCAGCACGTACTCCGCGTACTTCTTGGTCGTTTTGCCCATGTCGATGTCGCGCTGACGTCTCAGGAGCTCCAGCTGCCGGCGCTCCAAGTCCAGTTCACCAGTAAAGTCACTCTAAATACAGACGATGAGAACAGAACCATTCAAGGGAGGCCAGACATTCTACGAACGGGGCTATTCTCTGGGTCTTGGCACAAGAGCTCACCACGGCTAACCCCGTACTTTTTTAACTCTATGCACTGGTCTACACAGTACATGTAGTGGTCGTCATTGTACTAGGCAATAATGCAAGCACGGCGCAAAACAATAGCACGTCCTGTGCACTAGGTCGCCAGGTTTTCGAAGGTCGATTTTTGGTATCTTGAGTTGCCGTAAGCGAACGCGTGTGTGTGTGTGTGTGCCAAAAAGCATTTCAGTGACATGACAAGTCAGGATAGACAGAGAGCGCGCGGGTGGGCCAATGCAGACTAGCGACTGAGGTAAAACTAACGCGTCTCAAACCACACCTGCACAGGCTTGGTAGGCCACACGATGTGAGCGCCTTTTGTCAATTCGCGGTCGAAACAAATTGAGCGTTAAGGCGTAAGTAGTCATTGTGACAGCTCGGAATTCAAGCAAAAAACTACTGTCGTCTGTCCATAACTTAGGCCAGACAGCATGCAAATAAACTAGAAAACGGCATGACAAAGAATGAGGAACGAACGCGTATGGATTTGCTGCGGATGTAAAAGAGGGGGGCACAACCCCATTAGAACGGAGACCTTTTCGAGTCGACTACGTTAGGTTAAAACAAGATCCCTTTTTGAAAACTAGAAGACCACCACTTCCCTATGTTCACCACTAGTCGGCAAAATTAGCGTGAAATGGCCCGCAAACGCCAACGTGTACGAACTGATGCGAAGTACATTGAGGTGGCGTCAAATGCTCGAAATGCGGAGCAAGTCAGGCATTGCCGATGAGTTTTTGCGATTTACTTGACTCCCAACATCTCTTCCATTCAACGTAAAGAGTTCAGTGCGGAAGGAAACACCTTTGCCCTTATGTTACAAACCATCTTTTTTTCCCGAATGGCAACTGAAAGGCGAATCGGGGCGATGGAATGTGCAAATGACGAAGGAACTTGAATGCTAGCCATCGCCTTCGTAATTGACGAGAACTGCTTAGTCGAGATTGGAACAGGCGGTCTTCCGTTGGACCAATGTATTCCCAGGTCTAGTTTTTCCCTCCTGAGACTAACGACTAGAACTAGTGCTCCACTTGAGTGCATAGACTAGTCCGCTATAAGTAGTTCAAAGCGGTGGACGTGTTCGATCATGTCTAAATGAGCACGTGAGACTAGATCACAGGTCATGAAGGGGAAACGGGGTACGGGATATTCAGGAGTCACATCAGTACAGCCCACACGAGGACAACGACCGCTAACAGCGACTTTTAAGACGAAAAAAGTATCGGATAATTGGGGGTTAAGGTACGCATACAGCTAAGCAAGGTTGCGTAAAAAAGGACAAATGGCAGAAAAGTGCACCAGTACGATAACCAGGTCTAAGTTCTCCATTTCAAGTTCATTTTGCAAGTGCTAAACCGAAGCACCAACCAAATAGGCAGTAGCTGAACTAAAAGCAACGACGTTGGCTTTAATAGGCGCTGTGGGCTACTTACGGTTTCAGCTACAAGTACTTAAAAGGAAGTATCAAAACGGAAGGAGTGAGGTTTCGTTTTGACAGAGCTAGTCAATTGCGCTTTTCTACTGTAAAATAACGATGTGCACATTGCAATGGCAAGGGGTGTTGCGAGCGTTGCGGGCGACTAGCTAGGCCCACATTTTGAGGTCAATAAATGGCGGCAGCAGAAAAAAGCAAAATAAGCCCACATCAGCATTCTAGAAGGCTCAAGATTGGGTTTAAACTGGACGCAAACCCAGAGGAACAAAAGTGGCAATATCCCGCTTACCCGCAGAGAATATCGGCGCTTCAATTTCTCCTCATATCGCTGCAAGTCCTTCTCAGCGTCTTCACTAAGAGCTGCATCCACCTCCCAATCTCCCTCTGTTTTGTACTGAGCCAGACGTTCTCTGGCTCTGCGTATCTCAATGTATGGGTCGTAATTCGGATGATAGCGCCTGTTGGCGACCTAGTTAAATTAGATCAAAGAATGTCAGCTTAAACAGCATACAGTGGGAAGATCCTGTAAGGAATGACTAGATTCATCGTGATGTGTTGAAGTTCTAGGTCGGCCGCGTCCCAAAGAAGACCGATCTCTGCCCATAGGCGTGGACATCCTAGGGCCACGTTTGGACGCACCACTTTGGCCTCTTCGTCGTGAACGGACAGGCTGCGGTTTGTCCCGATGGCTATCATGTTCATCTATCGACTTAGATGAAGTATCACGGGACTGCTCATCGCTAAAAAAGGATACAATAATGTACTTAAGTATATTGATTTTTTACATAGCCCATCAGCCCCCAAGGAGTTTAATTCTTATTGCACACATGGCGAAGTATAGTAGTTAAACATAAGTCAAACAAGAAAAGAATCAATGAGAACTTAGTGTCCACATTCTACGTACGCACTATAAAATTCATGACAAGCTGTGGGTAAACATGACGGTCTCAAAGTACCGCACTTGAAAACAAGGGCAAGTATGCAACTAAACTGTCAATGGCTTAGAAACCGCAGTAGAACATTCAGTCAGGGGAAAGTTAGCAGAGAAATGAAAACTGAATAGCAACAAGGACGCTAAATGACTAGAAATATCAAGAAAATCATAAAACTCATTTAAATAGGGTATTCGTACCGCATCGAAAGCTAATGAATGGTAATACAAAACAAGGAAACACACTCACATGGCGGAGGTATTACCCAATTCTCGCAATCTACTACGTCCCCTTCTCGAGGCTCTGACGAAAAAAGCATTCTTCACGGGTGCACTTTTTCTTGATCGTCTGACAAATGTGTTTTCCGACATCTGCGCGGACACTAGGCGGGAGAGATAGTAGAAATAACAGCTACTTGACATTAGTGAGGTGAACCAAACGAACCAAGAGACGAGATATCAAACAGATTTTGGGGATATACATGCGACAAGACGTACATATATTTGATGTGTACATGAGATATAAAGAGAGGAAGGAATCCAAGATTTACATATAGAAGTATCAAGCTAAAGACGTCAGTCAATCGTCCAGGATCATCACACGAGGCGTCTTACGCTGATATAGCATCCAGCCTGTCGAACGAAGGCACTACTTAAGATATTTTAAAGATCATTACTTCAAAGTGACCCCAAATATGGAAAATAAGTTACACTGAAAAGGTAAATGTTCAGCATAGTCTATGAAATAAATGACACCAAGGATTCAATTCGCAAACCCATTCACAATCACCCACAAACCCAATGGCGTAAACGACGGAACAAAGTAGCGCCACCAGTGAGCCAACACCAGAGGCCAAACGCAATAATACCCAAGAACTCAAACTATTTTGGATTTTGAAATTTGGCCAAAATAACTGATTCGCCAACAATTCAAACACGATTCCGCCTCAATGATTTCTATTAAACCATTAAATCAAGGCTGAGATATTATGCTACAGTATAATTATAAGGGTGCATACTGTTAGGACATCTTACCAGAGGTTACCAGGTCTATTATCTAGTTTTAATCACGAAAAACTGAAACTGTTACGTGTTGTCTAAAACCACACTTGTTCAACATTTTAGTAATAATCAAGTTACTGAAACAGAACTTGTTTGCATTAATTTCCAAAATTTAACCATTTTGTTTTATTCTTGAAACCACGCATTACTTCACGATTTGTTTCAAGACAGCATGTAACCGATGATAAAATATTTTTGATTGCAAAATGTAGTGTAACTGCATCAACAAGCAAGTGGAATATGCCTAAGAAACACTGTGCATTTTGATTCTTGCTCGCTTGTCTATTAGACATTTTCACAGCTTATACTTTTACAGACTGACTGTAAAGGCCATTATTGATACTCGCTTTTTATAAAGCAGAATTTGCAGAATATGTCAACAAAAGAGTGTCACGTGAGAACAGATGGATTTATTGTAGCGTTTATAAAAAAATGAGGATTTTTAGCAGATTGATTGCGAATTAATTGCGCTTGGAACATGGTATAACGTTCTATTTTGCGTAATAAAGATTCGTAAATTATAATATGATAACAAGAATCCGTGTTATTTTGTTCTTTTTACAAATTTCGCAAATCTTTGAGAGTGTAATTACTTTGCCTGTTGATAATCTTTTCAAACGGGTAGGCAAAATTACATCGTGCCGCCTTCCGCAATCCCATTAATTATTATTCCCTTAGTCAAATTTTTGTTAATAAGATCAAATTTAATTTCGGAAATGGCTCGTGTGGGGCATTCGCTGAAATTAATCTTGGACCTTTGACGTCTTTAAAGCTAACAGTGCTCAAGCATGATTTACCAAATACAATAATGTGACCTAACTTATGTTTATTTAAACTTTAAGAAATGATCACGTAACTGCAGTCTGTGCCATTATTCATTTACGATAAAAATGCATAAAATAGAAAAAAGCACTTTGGAGTCATCCTGTGAGCTTTAAATTATTATTATTGGTGCTGTTGCTCACAGACCACTTGTGCACGACCAGCCCCTTACGTACATTTTCTGTTTATTTAAAAAGCTTATTGAAAAATGTCAATTCTACCTGTGGAGTTTCCTACTTAAAGCAAGAGATCTTCTTAATATGATCAGCTGATTTCAGCTGATTTTTTGGTTGCTAACATAAATATAATTTTACATTGTTGTCCAGTTTAGACTTAAAGTGATTCTAAACTTATTCGTTTGTGCTTCAATTTATATTATGCAAAAGAGGGACGTTTAAAAAATGTCAGGCAAGACACGCAATTTCCCAATTTTAGTCAAAATAGGCTGTGTTGTTAACAAAAACGGTGACTAAATTCGACGTGATTGTTGAACCCAAAATGACTTGATTACTAAGCTTTGATTTCTTTGTACGGAGAGACTTTACAAAATCATATACGTCAAATTCACATAGGTAGTACGGAACGTCAAGGAAACGGATAATGGCTAGATTAATATTTAAAAATTTATAAAGATTGAATAATCAAAAATGGGTGACACGTTCACAGATGTCAATGGACATTGGGAAAATTAAGCAGTAAATGTTGCATTGAGCGACCTCTTCAGCCTTTGAATTTACGGCCTCTTTTCAACTAGCGATATACAATCTTCCACTAGAAATTTTTGTTTCAATTACGACTATGGCTATTGCTAAAAAATTATGTTTTGTGCTATTAAAAAAATGTGAAACCGAAACATGACACAAGACGTCGACCATTGAGCTTGGACTAGTTTTTTCTCAATAATAAAACAGCAAATAGTGACTTTCAGCTGTTCTAAATTTTAGGAGAGAAACATGCAAAATGCCTTATTATTAATTATACACATGACTTTACTTTTTATTCATGGTATTTAGAAATAGTTGTAACTCCCGGATTTATGCATTGAAAATACTGTCAATTTAATTTTTCCAACTAAGTCCCTTATTTGTTGTATATTAATCCGGATTTAATGTTTTCTTTTCACAAAATATAAACTCTAATGGTACTTTTGTGCTACCTAAGTTGCAAGCAACCATAATTTTCGAAATTTCCTTAATTTTATCCATAATTTTTTAAATGTTTACTGACGCTGATCAGAAGTTTTCGTATTTTTGGTTGGACGCACTGTATCAAAAATGCTCTACAGTCAATCACAACAATTTTAAACTTTGGTTTGTACTTCTCGATCTCGACAGCTTGTCGACTCATGGTTGTTGTCAAAAAGATACATTTGAGAATACATTTGCTTATTTATTTTGTTTAGTTTATATGCTGCTACTTATTTTTAATAGTCATTATCTTTAACGGTTAAATTAGATTTTAAAAATAAAATTTAAAATTTTGATATTGCAGAATCATCGAATGAGACCTAGTTATTCAAATTATCTGCTGTGCATTTGAGATATATTCAATGAAGCTGCTTTAAAATATTACACTACAACTTACGTATTGATTTTCTGAACAGAGATAATGTCATTTAGGCAGCTACTTATTAATATGACTCAAAAAGACATTATGTCAAATGCAAACTGAAATACTAATGCTAAAATAAATGTAGAAATGCCAGCTCTCATTTAAACGAGACTCCTTATCACCATACTTTAGTGATGTCAATGCGTTAATAAGAACCACAAGTATTCGGTTATAAAAACAGTGACCGTTACATGTATTTAAATGCGATATGATCTGATCAACATTATACTGACTGTCCAAATGAGTTAACTTGGCGAAATCATGTTTTGTGTAGATGATTTGTTAACATATAATTATAACCCCTCGCATATATTCTGCGACTTAAGTAAGAAGAGTCATTTAAGATATTTTAATGGTTTGTATCTAACTATGGACAACTAACAACTCGGCCTAAGTAATACTTTGCATTTTTCGAAATTTCTGATAACAGCAAAATAATTTCAACTAACTTCAACGAGTACTGTGAGTAAACCTTGCTGGTTGCAAAATCAATTTGAACAATAACAGTGTTAGCTTACCTAATGAAAATTTTATAACGCTTTCATTTGGTTGAGAATAATTTAAAAATGAATAGAGGAGTTGTTTTAATGAATTGTTTTTTTACGGAACACCATAATTTTGTTTGCTGTGTTAGGTGGGGATGGCTTGTCAGGTGCGTGGCCGTATCGTTCAAATAACGAACGTTTCGCCGTCATGTTCACTTGAACAAATACGAATGCTTTTTGGGAACATAGGTGTGATCGAGGAACTGGTGCTTTACCCACCTGAAGGCAACGATTGTCCAAGCAAGGTGTGTTCATTTGCCTCCTTTATCTTTTCTTCAGGTCTGCTATATAAGGTACGCAGATGCGATTAATGCAGAAGTTGCACTGCATTTGCATAACACCATGTTTCTTGATCGGGCTTTGATAGTTCTTCCTGTCGTAGATGGCAAAAATGCCATCCCGGATGAGAAATATGCAAATCTTGTTCGTGCTCCCCTCCACACCTCTGCCGGTATTCACCCCCGTTCAGCCTCCTGGCCCCTTGACGTCGTCAGCATGGTTGTTGGACGTCCTGGTGAGCAAGTTATTCAGACAATTGACCCTCGTCTTGCCTCCCTGGGCTTTCCTGTGTATCCTCCACTTCCTGCTGCGACAGACTGTAATCGGATCGAGGAGATTCGTCGCACTGTTCTTGTAACCAATCTTGACCCTAAGACCACTGGAGAACAAGTAAGCTTTTTATATTTAGCGGATTTTAACTCAGGGTCCGACATCCACTTATCCGAGTCTTAGATTTTTCCTCTTTTAGATTCGTGGTCGCTTTTCCTGTTTGAAGTGACCAGTTTGTCTAATCTCAACTGTTACCTAGCCTAAGGATTAGGTCTCCTTCGGTATGGAGATTTTGTTCAATTCCTGATGATTAAGTGAGCATAAGTTAGGATTTGGAGACCTAATTCTTATTGTTGATTGTCGACGGACTTTTCTCAATCAGTACTAACACGCCCTCGTTTGTGTGTATCATGTTTTGTAGCCACGTGACATTCGCTTGTGCTTGACCATGTTATCGATTCATGGTGATAAGAGGATTCAGTGGAGTGATGTGGAAAACCCTGCAAGCCGTCCTCTTCGTCGCCAATGTTTTATTCATTACATAGTTGTTTTTTTGTGTTTTTCCCTTGAGTTGCTTTTCATCTGCGTGCTTCAAAGCTAAACAGACCTTCTTAAATGCACGGGTAACATACTTTTGATGGAGGGCTAAGGCCTGTTCCCACGGCCACGCCGAGTAAGGTAATTGTGACAATCACGATTCAGCCTGTTCTCTATTAAATCTGTTGACAGCACGAGAGGTGTATGCTCAAGTATTAGGCTTAGAATTTAGGCTTTTGGTGACCTTACAACTTTATCTTGTAGGTGCTTGAGTATTTTAACGCGCATGCTGAGGTAAAGTGCGTTCGCATGGCTGGCACTAACGGCGAAAGAGCGGCGTACGTTGAATTCACCGAACAACCATCTGTCGTCAAAGCCTTTGGCCTCATGGGTGGGACGATTGGCGATCGACAGGTAATTTTCCATTTTGCGTCAATTAAATGGGCTTATAGATTATGATCCAACATTCCAATTGCGCGATTATCAAACCGACAAGCGCCTTGCCTGGTTTGGATGACACAGTCAAGAGAACCTCCCCTCCGCGTAATCCCCAGCTTAGTTCATGTAAGTATTGGTCCATGATTTTTCGCCCTTCACGTACATCATTAGCAGTGCAAGGCCTCTATTTGGTGTTTACTAACTTTGCTCATTTGCTAACACGCAAATGGGCTCTAGTTTTATGCGCTTATCAAACGTATCTGTTTTTCTTCATGGCTTTTGCCTCGAGACCCCCCAAGTTTATCAATTAGGCAGCTTACATTTGTCCATTTCGGAGCCGTCAGTTTATATCATTCGTGATTTTCCTGTCACCAAAAAAATAATGCTTTCCAATTTTGTCGTAGCGAGGGCACGAAGTCGCTCGCGCTCCAAATCGCGGGACAATCGTTCGCGCTCAAAAAGCCACCACCGTCGATCTCGCAGTCGCCGACGGGGCCGTTCGCGCTCGCGCTCCCACCGCCGTTACTCGCCGTCGCGTAGCCGGGACAGGCGCCGTAGTGGTCGGGACCGGTCAAGGTAAGTGTTTCTCGTCGCAAAATCGCATTTTCCGTCAGAGTGTTATTGCAGACCTTGTATAGGGGGTCATGTGGTCTTCAAGACCAGTTAGTGACGTCGGATAAATGAGATTTGCGTTGATATTCACTGGAAACCCATTGGATATAATGTCTGACGCAAGACCTATAGCTCGGGGTAAAGCTTTAATTGGTGGTTGCAGCTATCAGGTTTTGTCTTAGTGGTGTGGCTTGGTATGTCTGCTTTCGTAAACTGTGACAAAATTCGGGATCTCGCCGGACAAGATTCTCTGCGCTAGTCACATCAAGATATTTAGAAGAAAAATCAAGATATCAGGTGCATAATTTTGACGCACGTATCACCGTAGAGGCCAGAATTGGTCGTGCGTGACTGTCAACGCCTCACCATACTTGCTGGGCCATCCTTGCTTACTGTAGAGCGTTCAATTTCCCCCAAAAAAGGGACCTAATCGTGGGCTAGAGCACGGTTCACTCCTCCATTGTAGAGTGGGTTTTAGTAAGGAACGGCTACGAGATGCTCAGATTGCCTCTTTCATAACCATTCGTTCACCACTAGCACTAAACTGACCTCTTAGCAACTCTGGTTTATATCCAACCCTAAATTTTGCTTCTATGAAATCGGTGTTCCACATCTTCGAGGTGTTGGGACGGATCTAGGTTCTGCAGTATTTTGGTAGTTCTTTTCTAATAGCCTCTTGCATGTAAGTGCAATTGTGCTTCGTGCTTCCCCTCCCAGGTCCTGGGGTCGACGCCGTTCTCGCCGCTCGCGCTCGCCCTCCGATCGTCGCGGCAGTCGGCGCAGTCGTTCACGCGACCGCCGTCGTCGTGAACGCGAGCGTCGTGATCGAAGCCGCGAGCGTCGTGACCGGGAGCGTTCGCGGGAGAAGGCGGCGCGTCGCAGTCGCCGTAGCCGCTCCCGCGACCGTCGCTCGCGCTCCCACGAAAAGCATCGCGCCTCCTCCCGTCGACGCGGCTCAGCTGAAAGACGCGACAAGCGCGAGCGCAAAAAGTCGCCAAGCAGTCCCCGGGCAGCCAAAAAATCCGACGAGCGAAGCCACAACAGCGGCAGCAGCCCCGAGAACTTGGCCCCTGAGAATGGCTGCAAAGCCGTGAAGGGCGGTGATTTGGAGCAGAACGAGAAAAAGGGCACAAAAAGCGACGAGTCCAAGCCGGAGACAATTCCCCCTCCATGCACGGAGTCGTCGAACGGGGAGGCTGTAAAAGTTGACGAATCTCCCGTTTCAAAGAAGCCATTGGGGGTGAAACTAGCTGGTCCTGAGGATGACATGGATGTTGTTCCTGCTCCTCAAGAATAAAGCGTCTACCCTTCTGCTGAAGGGTAGTTTTTATCTGCTAGGTGCCTTGTAATATACGATGATTTACCCGTGTTTTTCTGTAACTACCGGTATATATGTTTTGAGTAAAGTATACTCTATGTAATAAGTTCTTGACTTATTCTGGGGAATGAAGCTAGCGAACAAGTCTGCATAGTGTTGCAGGCAGACTAGAAGGCAGGCAAGTCTGGTCGTTCCGATGGTGGTACTTGCACAGAGGCGCTTTTGTTGCGGCGCAGTTGTGTCCGCACTCCCAGGAGGTAGTTGGTGTGTGCAAAACGTCAGTCAGGGGATGTGCTTCGCCTTGTTAACATATCGGATTACTTGAATCGCGGCATTTGTATGAGAAATATGTATAAAAGAGAATTGGCATTTCCAGTCTGGAGCACTACTTGTTTCCCTACAAATGTCGAGCTAACGTTTTAGCGAATTGAAGTGAGGCTAAATTGTGCTTTCTCAAGTATATTGAGACGCTTGAACCCCGCTATTAGTGCTTTTTCCTGTAATCCCCACAAGCCGAAGTAATAAAAATTGTGTGTTCATTGAGCAGACGAATAGGTATTATTGATTTTCCACAGTATTGGGGGTCTACCCCTTGTGAAATCAGTGGAATGCTTTTTGGGGCAGGCTCAAATCACGTGCTTTTGAATGCGAAAATTTGGATGACGCGTATAACCAAGTCTTCTAAATGACGTCCTGCCTATTTGATACACGGTGGTGAGTTAGCAGATGCTGAAACAATGAACAGGAAATTTGTGTGTGTGCGTGTGTTTGTGCTGGAGGGAGGGGGAACGTGGTGGGGTTTCATTTTTCAAACGAAGTTGTACTCGAGAATGGTGTAGGGAGCGTAGCCCTCATTTCCCCTACGGTTGCGCACTCGGTTCCATTTAAGCGAATCGTCCAGCACTTCGACGTACTCGCCCAGCTTCAGCGAGATCTCCTGGTCACTCTCGGCGACGAAATCCCGCTTCACTTGCGCAACCCTACGGGCGATTTAGGCGTGAGTTAGCAGCTGCATAAATATCGCCCACGCACGAGGCATGACGTCAAAATCAATAAAAATCGATTTTACACTGAGTCAAGGTTATCTGGAGCACTCAACTGATGTGCAATTAGCATTAACAGATTTACCACTTGATCATCCATTGAGCAAACTGAATTTTAATTATTTTTGATTACATGCGTTAAAATAAAAGCAGAATCGTACAGCTGAAATTGGTCTTAGTAAATCGCTACTTGTTGGGGATGATTTTAGCTCATTTCAGGCAAATCCGCTTATACTGTAAGCAGAATAACAGCATGAGTAAAGCTTTCCGACTTCTGGCAATGGATAATTAGAAATTTACGAAATGCTCTCAAACTCGGATTCCGTTGTATTGAACCTACTTTTGGAACAGCCTGTTATTTATTCAATTGACTGCACTGCATACTAATTCTCTTGTAAGTTTAACAGCCATATTTTTTTGCTTACTTTGCACTCTTCTTCCGTAAGTACTGAAGAAATTCCATGTGCGACTTCACATCTGAACTCGAAGCCAGCCTGGTTGCGGAGGTTCTTGATCGCTAAAGACGAAAACACGTGAGGCTAGAGTCAGCGGGTGCGGTTAACGTCTAACTTATCAGCCACATGTTTACCATATTGCCCTCCACCACGCTACCCTTAGCTTGTCGAACGTCGAAGAGGCTTTGATGATACTGATCTGGCTGAGGTTTAAAGCCACACTTGAATTGAGGAATGTAGGTGGGTACATCCACTTTCCACTGTTCCCTACAAGCATTTACAAGCAAACTGCATTACTTTTCACTTTTAAGTATACAGATATTTCACAGGTTATTTTACTGACTTGGGAAGGCACCAGCCGTCGCCCAACTCGCGCCAGAGACCAAGTTCAGGTTCAATCAACGAATTCTGGATAAGTCGAATAGCAGCTTCCGGGAACAGCGGCGAAATGACCTTTTTTGCCATGTCCGGCTTCCCACTGATTGGATCGCGGATAAAATCAATTGGTTGCCTTTAACAGAAATCGAATCTTTGAAGTTACAAGCAATTTAATGACTTCAAGTCTGGGAGCATTAACTACAAGGCGTACTTCATCATTGAGAAGAGCTTGTGAGTCAGAAGCGGCGGATTCGGCTCAGTCACGTAGCCTTGCAGTCGAGAAAGCAGAATTATGGAGAACTTGGTTTTCTCAAAGAGGTCAATTAGTTCGTCGTCAGAGATGGGGATTTCCACTTCTGATGCCAGAGACGTGTTACCTGCAAAACCACGCAGCCCACGTTTCAGATGTCGACAATTACCAACACACGCCGTGACCTCTGACCCAGGGAAATATTTCCAGAATCAGTTTGGTTTCTCACATTATACAAACTACAGGCCTTTGTCACGTTTGCATATCTTTCTGTTAGGTGTTCAGTTGCAAGAAAACAACACCCCATTGGGGTTCTACTTATTTCAGTAGCATCTGCAAATGATGAACTGCCAATAATGACGTCTAAGTAACGGAGAGAGACTTTCAGTGGTGACAAGAGGCATGTCAGAGTCATGTTAACTGCAAAACTACGCAGCCACGTGTCAGGTGTCGACAATTACCAACACACGCCGTGACCTCTGACACAAGAATCTTTTATGTTTCTCATATTATACAAACTATAGGCTTTCGTCACGTTTGCATATATTTCTGTGGTGTGTTCATTTGCAAGAAAACAGCACCCCATCGGGGTTCTACTTATTTCAGTATTATTTGTAAATAATGAACTGCCAGCAACGTAGAGAGACACTCACTGGTGACACGCGGCATGTCGTCTTTGGGATCCCTGGCCGAGGTCGAAGTGGAGCGCTTCTTGAAGATGAAACGGCGCTTCTTTTTGGCCTTTTTGTCCTTGGTTTTGGCGTCACCACCGGACACGGAGACGTTGTCGTCGCTGGGACAGGCTGTGGTCGAGTTCTGCCATCGCGCGCGCTGCAGTTTGTAGATTTGCCCGACGTAGCTCTCAATGTCGTCGAAACACATGTTGAGCAAGAGGATTTCCGCGTCAATGAGGGCCTTTTCCTTCAGCTGTTGGGGTGTCAAACCAACTGAAAATTTTGAAAAAAGAGATTGTGAGTGGAGATGCGTGGAACGTCAAAGCGTCGGTTGGTTTGGGTTGCGGGTGGCCAGGACAGTCATGGCTTAACAACTCCTACGGTATCTAAGTACATCCAAACGATTCGGTGATAAGTGGATAGGTGTTATGGATTTTACTTCGATTGTGGCACATATGCCGGGTCGTGAATCTCACAGCTTTCCAGGAATGCTAAGTGAAGACCAGCACTCAACCCAATTGTGCACACAGGAGGAGAATGAGCATTGGAGGCTGTCAACCAATAGGATTCGGAGGAAGGGCTAAAAGTGTGCTTGTCTGGTTGGTGAGATGCGTGGTTGTGGTGATACTTCGAAGTAGGAAAGGGGACACCAGAAATGACACACTTCGCTAACCTATGAAGCCTTCTACCTTTCAAATGTGAGGGTCATATTCTTGCACGACCTCCGCAGTCTATCTGCAGAAAGTGTACATTATAAAAATCTCAAAAGTATAACGTCTTCAACACAGCATCCTGGAATCTATGCCATCTTGGACTCAAAATTTTCAAACTCCACGTCATTGAAGAGTTAAAATTCCTCCATTTTCACCAGACTTGAATATGTAATTGACAGTAAAAAGGACATGCATGGTTACTAAAAGCCTGCATTTAACTTTATCGATTTGCTTATAAAGTAACCAATTAAAGCGGATTACACTGGGGTTTAATTGGTCGATCGAAACCACGTTCACAATCGGATCGAAGTAGAACTAACAAATGGTAATATACGTCAACCTACAGCCAATCATTTCGATATGTGTCATCCACTGTGTGGTCACCCTTTCCCAATAGGCGATCTGACTGATTTAGGGAAATTACCAGATAGATGCTACACGGAAACTTGGACGTAACCAATCAAACGCCACTAATGTCGTTTATTTCGCGCAAATAATAGCTGTCCAATGGGGTGCCTCCAGAGGCACGCACATATTCACTAACCATCAAGTCCGTTTTCAAGTATTTCAGCGTGTCTGGAAGTGGGTGGTTTCCTGCTTTCATAATCCTCGTCTTCGGCCCTAAAAAGAGCAAATTTTGTTGATTTCAGAGTGTGGACATTTGTGCCCCCTAGGTACCCAGTTCACCTGCCTTTAAGCTCCACTAATTGACGGTGGTTTTTCCCACAAAGCACGAAAAGTACTGTCCTCAGACATGCATAATTTGATTTTTATTGAGTTAACATCCACGTGATTGATCTGTCACTCAAACCTGACGTGTCACCTGATCATTTTAATTGAGAAGAAGCGTCATTTGGATATGGCTAATTAAAGTACTACGGTGTGTGTTAGTTAGGCAAGCTGCTTGGCCTCAGGGTTGATGTCTGTGAACTCAAGAGGTGAGCATGTACTCAGGCGGACTTGGGTTTTAACTTGAGTCGAACTGGGCACTAGATGCTACGCCTGATTTTCACTGACTTTGCAAATGTAATGCGATTTCCACTATCGAAAGACTGCCACCTGACCGAGCCACTCACGTTTTAAAGGGATTATTTTGAACTTACGTAAAATCGGCATGAGATGAAGATGTCTAGGCTGCCCCAACACACCTAATTAAGTCATTTTTCTGTTTTGAGAGCAGGAATATCGATTAGTCTTAGCCTAATCAAATCGATTTTTTTTGTTAAAGAAGGAGCACAGCTGTTAAAGTGCAAGAGCACTTCTCTGAATGGAATAGCTTAGTCTGCTGGCACAGCATCGTCTTACTCGGCGTATAGATCCTGGTGTTCGTGAGAGCCTTCCGAAGCAGTGTCTTCGAAACCCACCAAGGCGTCGACGATCTCATGAGCTGGAGCACTGACGCACTAAAAGGAAGACAGGAAAGAAGGCGATGATTTCACAGAGCAATGCAGAATGCGATCTCGGTATTGGTCAAATCAAATCTCGAGCATTTTTCACTAGCCGAAATATTCAACGAATGAACCAGTATTCATGTAAAGGCCTTGCCAAGTTGTAATAATAATATACAGAGCGTTGGTATTGACAATGATCGACTCAAAGGTTGTCTGCGCATCACAAAGATATCTGATTGGTGCAGTGATCTGGTTATGCGCCCGAATTAATCACATACGTACAGTAAATGGCAAATATTCTTCCGTTTGTCTTTGAGACAACGGCTGAAAAATGTGATAGTGTGAAGTTCGAGTCTTGATATAGATGATTGTATTTGATGCCAACACTTGGATACCATGACCAGAATACCCTTCTACTAGCCACTTGAAAATGTCACTGTCAGGGAATGAGCGATGTTGTTTAAACGCGTGGACAAACTTTGGCGCCTTTTATAAAGGGCTGAGTTGAACTACACGCACATGCCCCTGGTCTCTGACTTCAGTAGGTGATATTTTGTGTGCTGCAGCCCACGTCACATCACCACTAATGAGTGAAGTGCTGTTTACCGTGAAATTCAAGCACACGCTGTAGACACGGCTGCGGAATGACTGGTACCTCTCCAAGGCCGTTTTCTACCAAAAATATGCAGCTTGAGTCGAAGCAATCATGCAGTTCTAAGGTGTGAGCCGTACCCTTGATGGTGGCACTATTCTTGTTGCCTTAAACTCATGACAATCAAGTTGGCAGTGTGTTCAATGGCTCGACGACAGACTGAGTTAGAAATTACATTTACAAACTGCAAAGGGGCCCTGAACACCACGCAAAAGGTTAATTTCCATAGTTCTAAAGAGAAAAGCACATTGAAATCGATCAGCCGAAGGAGAGTTTGCTCCATTCCTGCTCTTGGAATCTGAGGATTCCACCGGAGTTTCAATACAGTGTTACTCTTTGGAACAAACCGATTTATGATATTGCCAACGATCCATGGGATGTAGGTTGGGGTCTTTGGAGGGTAGAATTATTATAATTTCCCTATAGTTGTTGAGTAATCTGAATGCGGATGTCGACCGACAGGCAGCTGCGCAACGGTTATCTGTGGAAACGAGTCGGCAGAGAGAGTCCGAATTCTAATCCAGCATTTGCTGAATTGTAAGTGGAAACTAGTGTAGTGATTTTACAGACTAACTCTGTCGAGTGATCTACCGGAGCAGACTGATTCCATTAAGTGCAAATCACGGGAATGGAAAGTGTGGCACCTGTGCATCCACTTTTTTGTGGTTTTGCATAAATTTTACACGGTGCGTCGCGTAATTTTCGCGGTACAATTCACACTAGATGCGGTGTTTAAAGAGCACCGCATTGTCTGGTACCGACGCTGCCCCGAGAATTACTGTGACTGTCAGTTAGCTAGATATCTGGTCTAAAAGCCTCCATATCCATGGAGGTAGGTAGAAGTTTATCGAAAAATATACAGAAGGTGGTTTATTGCTGAAAGAACTTTGCGTCGGATTGACGAGCAAGTTATTGGAGTGTCAGCACAAATAATTTGCTGAACCTATGAAAACTTGATCTGAATTTGATAACTAGATGTGATTTAATCAATACTACTTTCTTCACTGTTGGTCGCCATGTCAAAAAAGTGATTTCTCGATAGAATCAATTCTGGAGATTATAAAGAATGTTAGAAGACCTTCCAGCCAAGCGTGCAGACAGCAGAAGGACGCCAAAGTTTCCACGAGGTCGTCTACACAGGAGATTAGCATTAAGCCTTTGCTTGTGAAACACACATTATGAACAACACCATCACAATCTCCTACATTGTCAACCGGAATGACTTATTTTCTCAATCCAATTTTACCTTCCATCCCTTGACCGTAAACACTGGACCGTGGCTTATTTGTGTGGCCCTGTGTCTAGTAGTACCTCCTACCGACAATGACATGCCATCTTCTACGTGGTCCGGGAATTTTTCATGACCTCCCTGAACTCTTACTTCGTCTTTTGCAAAATAAGCGTAGATTTTATTCTTGCGGCATCCTTCAGGCCAAGCCCAACACTGCACCGAAACTTGCAGCCGACTTGATTAACCAGCCATTTCTCCCATAGTATCCACTGATGTGACCCTTTCTCACCAAACAGCTGCCAAGTTGCAGGCTGAAATATCCAACTTACTTGGAATACGTGCATTTCATGCTGTGAAGGTCCATTCCTGGAGTTCAGACATGCGTTCACATTGAACATGAGTAGGTTGTTGTAGGAGTCCGTGGGATCGTTGGATTCTTTGTAAATGGGCGTTATAATATCCTCCAGTGGAATGCACTCGCAGATTTCCTTTAAAAAATAGCAGTGCCAGAATTTAAAGAAATTAAGAAGCTGATTCACGAACTGTACAAACAACCAATCGCGAAAGGGCAAAATCAGATTAGTTGCTAATCGTTAAACACTCAAAAACGATTGTCCCGTTGTCACCAATCAGATTAAGCTTAGAATAACTCAGGAGACGGTTTACAGAAGAACTCTGTAGTCGAAATTTCTGTACACCAAATTAAATAAGATTTAGTTCTTATTATAGTTGTTGATCTCCATCGAATTTTCGGTGTAATCTTAGGGGTGTTATTGGGTCACAAACACAAGCCTCTACACATTAATATGTAGTTCATATTTAGCTCTTTAACTAAGTCATTAGGCTGTTTGTTAACTTATTTAAGAATTTCTAAACGAACGTTACTTTTCTGTGAACAAACATTGCAGCCCACTCTCGGTAGACGTTGTTTACTTTGTGTGAGATGAAGGGACATATTTCCTAACTTAATAATAGGCTCGTCCAACAAGACACTGCAGCCTTTTATCTAGCCATAAAATTGAATCCATTTCGACTTGCGAAACAATATGCAAATGGCCAACAGTTACCCAAATTCATTTGTGAATTAGTGATAAGTTAATGCACCTCACCACCAAGATTTATTTGCACCACCACTAGTACAGACCATTCCGAGTTTTGTGGCGATTGCATGCTTTGCATTTTGAAGTCATTTGAAGTACGGAGACAGGCGACTGAATTACCCATGCTTAAGAACTGCAAATTAATTCCTACGGAAATGTAAATCAATGGTGGCTGGTTTGTAGGAGCGAAACGTACTTCTACGCACATGGCAAAAAAAGCTTAAATAGCATTGTCGGTGTCATTAGATCCGAAATTCTGAGTTTATCGGGAAAAATTGATTCTAAATTGCACCAATCAGGTGTCAGAGAATTCAACTAAATTTTGTATTTACCGAGCTTCCGAGGAAAATAACTCTGGGGAAATAAATAATTGACACTTGAGGAACGTTATGCCTACTCTGACCGCTGCAGCAAACGAATCACGAGGCTTTTAATTAATCTTGGATTTTGTGCTGCTTTTTCTGGGTAGATTCCTATAGGCAGATAAACTGTGATTGCCGCCTAGCTACTAATATTAGCTAGTTAGTGTGTAAAGTGTACAACCAGGCACAATGCAACCGCGAATCATTTTGCAGAGGTTTACAGGATTGTCTCGCCTAGAAGTTAGGATAAATTCGACATTTAGTTTTATTACCAATGAGGTCCTTAAACAGACAGGGAGTCTATGCCAGGAGCATTGGAATTATGCAATTTTACCACTATTCCGAACCTACTTAAATTACATCTAAATAAGATTTATGGCAAAGAATGTGATACTAACCAATTGATGTCACACCATCATCACTAAACCCCATTTGAGATTTTACTTTAGGTGAGCTGACTCCGAATTCGGAGGTTCGATATCTTCTGACACGATGAAACAGTCTGCAGTCGTTAACCACTGAATAATTCTAGCTGTTGTGAGGATATTGTCATTCACCTCTCGTCTTTAGATTCATTTCTTTTGAATTTAAGGTCCTTGAAACTTTACGGCGTCCTTCGAGAAAATGTTTTGCCTCTAAACAGACATCCTTAGTAAGGTAACAAGGAGACACCGAAAAAAATTGTGAGCATCCAGTCTAATAAATTTTTAACTGTTTTAATGAATGATTTAACATGGCAGTAATTTAAACTTGGTGTCGGTGAGTCATTTTAAGTAGTGTTCTAATAATCGATAAAGATTAATGCTTAAACCGAACTGCTGTAATTTAATACGTGCATGGGCTAGCTAAAATCACGAATTGTGTAAACTCCTTGGTTCGAATATGCAAACTTTAACATCCTAAACAGTAACGAGGTTCCAATTATTTACTCAAAATTACACGTGAAAAGTGTTAGACGCGTGTCATTTAAAAGGCCGTGATCAGGGAATTATGCACTCCCCAGAAAATGCTTCCTGTTTCCGGATTTTAAGCAACAACATTCGACTGACTGCAACCCAACAACTAACACTTTCCACTTATAATGTTGTGTAATCTTATCATAAGTAAACTGAAATTTAAATGCCATGCTCGTTTGCATGTTCCACAATTCACGATTCCTTCGTAGGTTTTCCTGGGTAGCTACATTATCCTCTGGATGTACAAACTCAAGCATATCACGCTTTCTTGGTTTCATTGAAATGCAACCTACTTTTCTAAGTGGATTCTACTCATTTAAACACCACCAGCTATAACAGCTGGAATCTTAAAACCAGAATAAACAACGTCCACTTGTAACCCACAAAATGCCTCAAAGCCTAAGCAAATTAAAGGTATGAAGGCGTCGCACCCCAGAAGCAATATTCGACACCAACAACTCCCTCCTGGAGTTGTGTTCGCGAAGCATGAGTTTCACAGGTGTTATGGTCAGCTGTTTGCTGTCAGCCAGTTGACGAAGACGTCGAAGACTCGACTCGGGGTCCGGTGGGGGTCTGTTGGCAGAGGTGACCAGGGTGCTGAGGTGCTCCGCCTCGTGTTGCCAGAGGATCTTCCCTGACGGGCTGCACCCCAGTGGCGGGTTTCGACAGTCCTTCGACTCGCGTGAAGCTGCAAAACTTCTAGGGCCGACAAAAAAGTGCGAATACTGAGAGCTCCATTCAAACAAGCGTCAGTTATAGGTATTCGACAGTAACCTCGATGAAAGGGCATGACGTCTTCTAACAAAACACTGCTTGAAGGTTACTTTTAGTGGTGTTAAACTTCACACCTATCCAACGCCACCCCCACGTATTTCATCATGTTGTCGAGTCTCTATTGTTATTTTCAAATTTTGTTACACACGAGGACTTTTTGCTGCCTCCAGCTGGGCAGAAGTGCGTTTCGAAAAGCCGATAATGACAGGTTAAGTCAATCGAAATAGTTTTGCCTTCAGAACTGATCCATTGATGCCGTGTGTTTAGCCCTGTGCTTATACTGAAGATATTCCAGCACATATCCAGTCACTGAAAAGGAAAACCTTAAGAACATCTACATTGCCAAAAATGCTTTTTTGATGTTTCGTAAACTTGAATACTCTCAAGTAATGCAATCGGTTTTTTCGATAAGTTACATCACACAACACCAAACACTTGTCGCCAATTAGCATTCAAATGACAGCACGCTAAGAGACGTCAGAAGCCTCCTCGTTATTCCTGTCCCCATGTTTAAAATTAAATTTCAAGGTGACATGTTATTTTGATAATCGAGCTTGTGAACACGAATCCTCTTCACCAACGCTAAACCGATATGGGGCTACTTTTTTCGTTGTCATAGCAGCGAACAAAGGACAACTAAATAGGGCATAAAAACTTGTTTTTGCGTAAATACTTGCATAATTTATTGCATTCGGTGGGCTCAATCATATGACTGCGCGTGATTTATTGACCGCCTATCAAACATCACCGTCGTTTTTACCTACGCTTTTTGGAAGCTTTTTTTAAATTTTTAAAAAAATTTCTGACTTCCCTCCTTAATGAAAACACACGGTGAATTTAGAATAAACAGTCCTGACAGTTACAAATGATTGGGAATTTTAGATTTGTTTGAATGAAACTCTTGCCTAGTCAAAATCACATCGAAAAAGTGCAATAAATTTGGTAAAAGTCCCCAGTATAGTGTTTTGCATTTACTTTTCTGATTTGCTTTTGAATAGCGTAAGGTTCTAAGTGTGAAAATGAAAAAATCACGCCATTTTGTATCTTATATTAGCATGCACATTTTTACCGTGTAACAACGCATGTCCTGACACCTGACTAAATGGAGATTCTCGTTTAGCGTTGTTAACTTGTGACTGTCTTCCTAGTATCCAATGGAACCCTAGATTTTTCACGTTAAACACTCAATTTTCTTTCTAACCTACTGATGAAGTCAGTAGATGGAGTGGGTAAGGCAAAACCATTGCACATGTGGAAGGCCCATTTTGATTGGGCACTTCTTTTGGACACTAGTTTGATCCAACCAATGAAAATCATGATTTGTTTTGGCCGTAATTAGTTAGCATAGGTCATCATTTAGTAGTTAACCGATAAAATTCCAGTAAGATTTCTAAGATTTGAGGAAACAGCCTTGTGAAGCACTGGTCGCAAGCGTCACAAAGAGGAGTGGGAAAAGCCATAAAACGTGTTAAAAGGATTCAAGTGCTTGGAATTAATTGCTTTAAATTAGCTTACGATAAACACCACTAAAGGCTGCAGGCAAAGTGTCTTGGTCATAACAACCGTGAATTAACTTGTCTGATAAAGGGTTGTACAATTACGTTTTAAGCTAATTGTACTTAACATTTAAGTTAAAAGTGGGTTGCTCACCTAGGCAGGCCTCGGGTGCCACCGTGAATTGACATGTTAGGTATCTTCGCTGAGAAAGCCTTAACACAAGCAACGGCGTGATCCGAAGAGCACAAATGAGCGATTGTTCGTGTTCAAGACGCCGGCGTGTGCGTGTGCTTGAGTGCGTGCATGTGAGCCGATGCTGCTGCCTATGAGGTTGCCGTGACGGCAGCCCAATCACCGATCCACTGTGTGCACACAAAATCGTGCTCTAATCAACATTCTTGCACACGTGGGTCCCAGTCTTTTATTCTGCGCCGCCTGCGCCTTCTCGACTGCCTGGTATCTTGTTGTGGCGACTTGGGACTGCAAATTTAACGAGCCTGCGCAGGCTCTGGTCTCTAGACTCCCAACCACAGGCCATGGCTCTCACTCCCTCCCCTTCAGCTGGACAGTTAGACTATGAAACAGGACTTGAAATGCACGATTACTGACTGCTAGGTAGGGGATCACTTAGCATTAAAGTGTAGTGATAGAAAGGCTAGTCTTCCTAGCTCAGTTTTGTGAGTATTTGGTTTGAGTTGTGGATATGATACAGTGCGAGTATAAGGGGTAAACTCAAGTGCCACCTTTTTCTGCTTGAAACAGTCTCAGTCGTTTTCTGAAGTCGTGCGCAGGAGCCAGCGGTCGAACCAGTTTCGAACAAAGCATAATCTAAATGCATTTGAGTTGATCCCTTAAGACTTTTGAGGTTGCAGTTAAGATGGAAAGTTATTGATAGGAAAAATACTCAAGTGAAATCTCTATTCAGAAATTAATAAAAGCATATTTGCATTCTTGTGACCTCCAAGCAGTCTACCAGAGGTCAATGAGTCAAATTTTTCTAACACTCGTCACTACGGGAACAAAGTATGGTGCTACTTTAATAATGCGGAATTCCATTCGCAAGTCGTGATGGCAAGTAGTGGAGTCCTAGTTCTCCTGACCTGGCTTCATCACTCAAGGCTTCAGCCACACGACCCGTGGTTTGTCTTCTATTGCCTGAAATGACTGACGAAACCGAAATGGACCTGGAAACAATCCGTCTACCATGATCCTACCATCACCTTATTATATTAAAGATGAAAACCATTTGCTTGCGTGCTTGGGTTTTCAGTTGTGGATAGATCTACTGAATCTCCGGTGTGATTCAAGGACCACAAGGAGACCACTGACACCACGAGGCTCAATCGATCTATTGCTGCAGTAATGACGTGGCTGTAGGGGATGTGTTCATAGGCGTCAGGTTTCTGAGGGAACATCGCGACTTAAATTGTACTCATGATGATTAATTGGGTGATTCAGTGCTTGCTTACGCAAGATAAGAATGTTAATTCGCTGATCCCCACAGAATGATGCCAGTTGGTGTTTCGGTAGCCTCTTGTCGCCATGAGCAAAAGGTAGTGGTTCCTTTTGACTCTCCTTATTCACTCCTACACTATACACACATCGTCTCGGCGAATTCACAGACTAATGCTGTACATCGAGGCTCATTTCACATGGTTAACAATCTACAAATGCCTTTTCGTATATGCGGCTGTGTTATTCCTCTTAATTTGGTCCAAATCACACAAAAACGGAAACAATGATTGGTCTGCTGACCACTCTCCATTGCGTCCCTAATTCCCCTGATCCTTGATAAACCGTATCTTCGGGGATTTTGCTTGTTTGGTAATGCACAGATGGGGTCAAAGGTTTCTCGTGTGTTCAGTTATCAGGAACAATGTAGTCACACAGTACACAGTAGTTTCAGTTAATGGTCTTGAACGTCTCCAAAAAAGTGGTGAAATGCGTTTTCCTTTCTGTCAGACATTGATTTTTATGGGTCACAATGAGTGTGTTCTGAGCACTTGAGGTTTGTGGAACGAGTTGCACATTTTGGAAACATCCAGGTTGGCAGTGGAATCTGATTCTGCCTTTCCATTCTCTTGTCTGTTTAGAAGTGAATCAACTGAACTGACAGACTTATCTAATATTGAGGAGAGTTAAAAAAACTTTTTGTCCAAATCAAGCTGAGTACACACAGAGAGGTGTAAAGAGGTAACTGTTACTATCTACTAGTTGTATGCCCAATATTCCTGCCTCAATTCGGCGTCTCAGCATTTGTAACTGACTTAATTTCGCACCCATACACCGTTTGTCCCAAGTATCGTGGTAAGTTTGATTAAAATAACCACGATTATAATGCACAAACGAAAATTTATGTAGTTAGTTCGGAATCCCAGCAAATCCTGCAACTGAAGTTTTTAAGGTGAGTCGTGGACGTCTACCCTACAAGGCTATCTTTTCAGCTTCCGTTAGTTGACTTAGAGCAGCGATTAATTTTTACATAAAAATATGCACATACTCGATTTGATTCATGTCCTTGCATACTGGGTGCATATGGAATGATTGAAAAACCAAGAATCTGGCAGTTTCGTAGACGGTTTCGTGAGACTGATCGTCTTCTACTTCCAACGCCACCATCGCACCTAGAAACTGTGATAGAGGGTGTTTATCATTCGATGAACCAGTTTTAGTTCTTCCAGTTGCTGTCAATGGGGGCGTCCAATGTTGGTCTGTGGTGCTGATATTTCCATCATTGGCCAGATGCTGATATCTCTTGGACACTTAAATTGATTGAGATTTTGACGATTTGAGGTGCCCTCGTTGAAGATTTTCCAAGTACAATTTTTGTGGCAACTCCAGACACGCCTGTTCGTGTCTTGCGATCGGGGGGATCCTGTTCGTGTTAAGGATCGATGGTAAAACGGTTCACAAACATTATTCATTTGCCACAAGTCAAGTACTCATAAATTCACCTATTTATTACTTCAAAGTGACTCGAGGTAATAGTGAGAGAATAGATTTGTATAAAAGCTGCAAATTACAAATGGTTTGAATAAATTGCCTCAGCAAGATAAGGCACGACAATGTTAAGTTCTTTCTGGACTGGTTTATCAACAAATCCCACTCCAGCAGTAGCTGACTACAAAGAGGTAAAGGCTGGTGCGCTGCGATTTGATTGGTAGGACATTATGCAAGTTGTCTGCCCTCAACGCCATTTTCAAAAGACTTTTGTTTGACCAAAATTGTACAGTCCCCCGCGGCCTTGTGTGGCAACCACGGCCTCCGAAATCATTGATCTCATTTGGCGGACTTGGTTTATGCAAATTTTGAGATAATCCCGAGCACGTAACTACGTAGTCGCGCCACACAGAAATGTGAAACTGCACTGGGCATACCTAATGACTGCGCAGGCAATCTGAGCTAATACTTGTCACATTTGCCTAATTTCCGAAACTAATGTATCCTTTTAAGGGTTCCAATGAAACAGATGGCTGATAGGTCTCACACGAAGGAAACCGTTTGTACTTAACCACAGACTTGTCTCAATATGCCATCATACGTAGATTAATGATGGTAAAGTTTGTCGAAGGAGATTAAGACTGTTAAATGAAGTGAAGAGAGCAACCAGGCTCTGCGCCAATCAAAAAAGCCTTTTTTTCCAAAAGTAGAATGACCGGAAGGTCAATCATTGATTGGTTAAAAAATCTTATCTACGATACCTAAGCGTGTGTGTGTATATAGACACAGTTTGCTAGCTGGATAAAACCACATTGGGAGCACTGAAAAATGTCGGCCAATCATGAGATGCTCAATGGATTGTTAGTTTTTGTGAATTGGTAGACCACCAGTTTAATGCGAAGCCGACCGCCTTGCAACGGAGAACCGAATGGCGATAACAGCTAGAAAGAGATGGTTGTACAAAACAACGTAGTGATCGTGTTCCAAAACAAGTGTAGAACGGGAAAGGAAGACAGCTGACATTTCAAAGCCATTAGCAGAACTAAATGCAGACCGAATTATCCAAGTTTAAAATCAACTAGCTTTAGTTAGGAATTTGCTTATTTCGATGACAAATGCATTTGCATCAGAGGTCATAAATCAAGTTGAATCAACGCTTGTCTGCATTGTGAAATGACTTGAAACGGTAGAATGATTGACTTGGTTTATTGCGTTTCTCTTTAACGAAGACTTGTGTTACGTTTGCCCGTAACAAAAGAGAAGACCACTCAAATAACGGTACCAGATCCCTAGATGAAGCTAGAACCGACCTTCCCACGCTAATACAAGGACAAGACCAGAGCTCGTGTAGAGAGCTTTATTCACGTCAGCCACGTGCGTGTGAGTTGTCAAAGGTGAAACTAATTCAAGTCAAGGTTGACCTTGACCTGATGAAAAGCGTAGTAAAACACATGTTAATGAATTAGTGTAACTAGTGCCAGAAACCAACGACGAGCAATCTTGGGGTATCGTGGACCCCAACAGCTTGCCCAAACACAACTAAATTCAAGAAATGTGATCTGGATACCATCATGTTTACAGCTTTGCAATATTGGATTATGCTTGAGGTGCTTTTGTCCCACTTTACAACCCCCACCCAAAGGCCATATTCGGAGTTTTTGCATTCGTCGTTGCGAAGAGTCTGAGTGAGGTCTAGGGATGCATTTTTGGCGTGACAATCACATTGCCCATTTGGAAGTGATCTTGTCTAACATCCAAGATGCAGGATAGTTTGTCACCATGAGGCTAACTAGTGTCTAAAACTAGGCCGGGGTCATGGCAATTTCTTTGAGATAACAGGGCCACGTACCTGGAAGATCTCTCAATTTGAAGAAGCCACTGAACTAGACTCTCTATTGTAGGGTGCTATTCAACCATGAGACTTAACAAGATAGCTACGGATCATGTTGTGTGGCAATAAAATCGGCTACTTGAACGAAATCCAGACTGATTCATTAAAATACACTCATCTGTGAAGTATTTGACATTCTAGTAAGGGCGAATGCATTCTGAGGATGTCAAAACAAGTTATTAGTTGCTCAGTTAAGAGTCAAAGCAAAGCACCGTGCTATTTCAGTTCAACATTTGTCAAATTTGATGTGGCGTATCGCTGATACATAAGCAAATATTTTGCAGAGCACATAGTCGACTACACTGTTGACGAAGCAAGATCCCTTGTCTGTGAAGCATTGTGATTTGAACAGTGATTATAAGAGGCTGATAAAACTTGCGGAACAACTCTGCATTTTATATTGGCTTAGTTTCGTTTGCGTGACCGCACATCTTATCGTAGACATTTGGACGAACTTCCAGACATTACTATACACTGGTTTACTTTCTTTTGTCCTTTAATGAACCTCTTCACTAATTAGTTAAACATTAAATGGTAGCCTTATATTTAATGTAAACACAGTCTCTGCCACCAGGGCTGACATATTTGTCAAATCAGCACCAGTATAAATAAATGTCGATTGCTTATCGGAAACCATTATGTAAAATCGGAGTCACGAAGCGCCAATAGCTCCCAATACTAGACACGCTGAGTACTCGATTACCGTCACATGTCGACTTGCTCGATGCCAAATTTCAAGTAGTCTTCAAGGATGCAACTGCTTTCCGACAGTCTCTGTTTGAGAGGCTTGAAAGATCAAAAATTCTTGGAAGTTTTCCTTAAGCATCTTCTGAAATGATCCTGCACTCAATCAGTGGAGATGATTTTGCAAAAGAGCACAGGTTAGGATCAAAATCTATGGGTTACCGCTGAAGAGGTTGCTGAGAGACGACATGTTGCCAAGTCGACTGAATTTCGGCAATTAGGAAGTGTTTCGACAGCATTTGCCCTCTCCTTGCCTGTCGATATGACGAACACTTCAATGATCGCAGGAGGATAATAATTTTACGAAATTCTTTCGCATTAATAAACAATGACTGCGGTGGTGTACCATGAACTCACTGTTGAAATCCAGATTCAACTTGCAGACCTAAATAATCAAAAAGGCATCGCCCATCGCCATGACAAGGCCTGACCAAATGTTGCCCAACAAGTCAGTGTTAAATTCCGAACAAAACGTGGAAAGGTCTCATCCTTCACCATGACAAAGCTAGATCACATGTCGCTCAAGAGATATTGCAGAAATTTGGGGAGTTGAAATGTGAAGTTCGCCGGCAGCACCCGCGTCACCCCCCTGACCATACCTCTTGAGATTTTCTTCTGCAACCTTCTCTGCGAAGCATTGTGAGAGTCAAAATTGTCAAACGGGCCTTGCGATTTCATTTTAAGTGAAAACACTCAGTTTTAACAAAGAAAGACTTGCAAAGCTTGTAAAACGATGGGAGACAAATAAAAGTAACGATGGAAATTATATTCTTGACTAATAAACATCGCTTTTCGCGGAAATGTGCTGTGCTTGTTTCTAATTGGGCGCAAAATTGTGCAATCGCTTGACAACTAACTTCCAGAATGTATCCTTGTTCAGCAGTCACGATACCGCTTTCATTATCTCTTTGGTTTCGTCGGAAATTCTCCTGGTGCAATTCAAATAGAATTTATTTAAAAAAACGCGACTGAAGTTAGCACACAGTAAAGCTTCCCTATATTGAACAGGAAGAAGGCTAATGTAAGCGTCATCATAGACTAGGTTTACCAATTAAATCCTATAAGACTTTGAGATATCATCGTGATTATGCTTGGGAGATATTGTAGATATTGCAGATCAGCACACGCGAATTTCATTTCCCCGTGTATGATTACTCAGGCTTGTAATATTTCTTGCAAAACTAGCCTAATTAAGGAGTTTCTTGTAAGTTTCATATAAGCATTGATTCCTTCCAGTTAGGAAAAGTCGTTTTATCAAAATGAATAAAAATGGTGAAGATGAGGCAAAATTATCAAGGCGATGTCAAAGCCAAATCGGATTTAAAAAAAGTATTATTTCGCCGAACGTGCAAATATCACAGGGAAGCAGCTACAATGTTTTAAGGCCAGTTTTTGGACCCCATCTTCCAGGAAGGTGATGCCTCTGACCGAAAACTAGAGGAAACGTCTTTTATATTAATAGGAGAAAAATATTAAATGCCAACTTGTCGGCCAAAGGCAAGTCAATTCTAGAAATTTCGCGGGTGTTCTTATCATGCCCAAGCGAATATGGATTTGCTTGATTTGCTGATAGCAGCAATTTGATTTCTGTCAAATTCTCATGTAGACGAGTTAATTGCCAATCGTTACCTTTCAAACATACTGTGCTAAACATTGACGAAGTGGTTACAAAAGTAGGAATGAATGACAGCACGGTGGGCTAATTCTATTGGTTGAATGTCAAAGTGCAAAGAAGTTCTTTCCTTTGTACTTTAAAGCGTCGAAACATACTTTAAATGCCCCATAAATCACATTGAGGGCAGGCGAAATGTATCGTCTTGTTTAAGAGCGATCAAGGGCTCTAACTCTTGTATTAAGAGAAAAAGCTGTTCTGCCTTGTTGTAAGCTAACGCCTGTTCACGTTAATCCATCGGCGTGGGCAGTGTTACCGAAGGTGCTAGAAGCACAAGTCATGTTAACATGCACAAAGCGCACTCACGACGGCGACAAAGACCATGGGAAGCCCACGGGCGTGGCTCTGACCAATCTTAAATTGCTAGGCTTTCGCCCTTCAAGTTCCTTTCTTGCTAGGGATTGGCTGACGTGTAATACAAAATCGTAGCTACCATTGGCTCGCCTCTGCGTCACACAGAGGCACCCAAACTATGTTTGGTGGAAAAACATCGGATCTTTATTAATGTCTGCTTCAAGTAACACTAATCTGCAAGTTAAATCGGAATTCCAGGCGTCAAAATTCCGAATTATATTAATATCAAAATCCGAATTTGGCTGTGGTAACTACACTACAGTAGCACGAATCAAGTAATCACGAGATTCATTCTATTGTGCTGGTTCCACTAGGAGGGGCATAAGCGAGGTGGAGAGGAGTCTACCTGTGGATCTGACTGGTCTCGACGCATCGCTACTCAGAAGGAGTCTATCGACAAATTCGGCATGCGCCACGTTTCTGATTGGACTGAATGTCTTCAGGTCTGCCTTCCTGTCGACATGTGCGTTACCATGTGTTCGACTATCTTCTCTTATAATTTGAGTGGTTTGGCTTCGACAACTGAGCTATTTATGCAACAAGGTCAACGCAAAGAGCACCCAAAACGACACTATTCTTTTTTCAATCGTTATTTGCTCATTCGAAAGGTTTAGACAGTTAACTGTTGATATCCACTATGCGTATTTCCTCTCAACTGTTTCGTAGATGTTTCTAACACGACAAAGTTGATCTACATTTGTGGAGGCACTGACATCAACGAGGATGTTAAGATACCGCAGAGATTTCAGCGCATTTCGGAAGCTATCAGCAAGAGCAGGTACCGTTGATTCTTCCCTGCGGCTTTCTTATTAGAAAGCTTTCATTGAAAAGGTAGATCGTTTTATTTTAGTGCCGTCGTGACTTTCTGTGAGTCAATGAAACACCAGTTTTTGCATTTCTGGGTAAGCGACGACGTTAGCTAGGTATAATCTTTTTCACTGTCCGGCAATCATCGGTAGCAACTGGCCTACATCGTCCACTATCCAAAAAACAGTTTACGCATTTCTTTCTTGATTTTCTTGAGTAGCACCAAATTGAAAACCTAGGAATTTAGTGTGATCGTGCAGTTGTGACGTGCAAACGCACTTCCTGGGAACAATGTATTGCTCATACTCAATGAAATGGGTTTTATTCCATGTACATTTCTCCAAATTTTTAGCCAACGTATCCCGGTTTACTCCGCACCATTCCACAATGTGAGTTTGACAGACTTGATATGTTTCGTGCATTGTGTTCTAGTAATCTTCAAAACCCAATGTACGGAGTATTGACCCGGATATGCTGAAAAACGCTTGTTTAAATGAACTTAAGTTGCGACGAAATTATCAATTTCAAGTACATGTGGTTGTGATTATTACGTGTTTTTGTTAAGGATACAGTTAAACCTAAATTCCGTTAACCTTTTAACGGCATGATTTCACAAATGTATATGTCTGCCTCATTTGAGATCCATTCAAATTTATGCCACTACTTCGATTCTATTGATTAAAGCTTATTTAAATGTACCCAGGTTACTGAAAAATCGATGTCGTACACACGGCGCTCACTATTAGAAATCGGCATGATGTATGCGATTGAACCACAATTACAATGACTCTTTAATGCTCTACTTTCACTGATCGACGTTTGACATCAGCCGTTTTTCAACACGAAGAAGTCCACTTGCATTCGAGCTACAACCACACTTTTTTCTTTCAGTGAATGACGCGTTTAAATGGTGGCACGAAAGGCGTAGGCAAAAGTGGCACAAAATTCTCCCAGAGGGGTTCATTCACATTTTTAACACAGATTTCATGCTTTCGTTTTAGCTGTTGTCGTCAACAGATCTGACGCGTTAAAAAACGCGGACGTGCTTGCTGCCATAGAGGCCGAACTTGGCACAAAATTGAGCCCGTTTGTTCTTTTCGTCGGTCGACTGCGACCCATAAAGGATCCCGCATACATCCTCCAGCCCTTCATAGGTAGGATTGTGAAAGTCAAAATTACGCGTCGGTAGGGTGAAGCGTTTTGCTTAACGATCTTTGTTTGCCACTCTTAGAATTTTTGAAAAAGAGCAAGCATCGAATTCAACTCCTATTCGTTGGCTCAATCGTAAGGCTTTCTTTAGTCTCAGCCATCACCTCTTAGGAAGACCACTGTGAAGAAGTAGAGGCCGTTCAGTCAAAAATTTCTTCGTGAGTTTGTCCCCTTGTTGGTTCCACAAATCGACATCCATGTCCTTGAGCAAAATCGTGTATTTTTTGGCTAAAATCGTCCCTGGGAAGTCATCCACGTGATGCGTGCGCAGCACAAGATCTACCAGAGAAGGGAATTCGTCTTTCCAACGATACACTGAATGATTCAAAAGTGTTATCTTGTTGTAGCTCAGCTTTCTTGAGATTCGACTCAGATTAACAACAGAACCAACAATTTTCACTAGGAATCTTTCAGTGAATTGAGTTTTATTAGCACCAGACCAATAACCGTCAAAAGCATTTACTGGGAATGAATCTGTGATTAACAGCATCACAGCCATTTGAAAAATGCCAAGTATCGGAACAGGGGGGGGGTGTCCTTTGACGTCCAATATCTTCGATTAACTTTACCGCTTGAGCTTGCAGTTCCATTTGGAGTCACCCAAACAGCTATTTCGAAGCAAGAATATGCTAAACATGATTGAATTTTAAATAAAATCCAAGTGGAAGAAGCAACTGATGATGGATACTTTTGCATCAACTGCGATCCATGCATCTACTGAGTGCATGAGCTTAAAATTACACTTATAATAGACACATTTATGCGGTCGTTTGTGGTTTTGAAAGGATCGGACGCAAGGTCTCAGAACACCGAACGATGAGTCTACGTGAGTTACACAACCTCTCAGAATAGCTGAGTTTGTGATGATGGCAACTGGTGAGCAGCAGCACATTCGATGTCACCGCATTCCATACGAACTCCAACAAGAAAAAAAGTGCTTCCATAGTAAGAGAAGCAATTCATCGTGCTCTTGGTGTCGACGCAGTGTCTTCTGTGAAACGAGTAATTATCGGTACAAACGTTGTCGAGGTGGTGAATTTTATCCTGGTGATCAGCCGTAACCCAACGGCAGCCTTCAAACTTTGAAGATGCGAAACCGCAAGCTATATTTGTTGAAGACCCCACGCTAACGCAACAAGAACTTGCAGTTTCTTTTGGAGTCACCCAGGCAGCTACTTCGAAGAATCTGCACTACGAAAAGGGAAAAATTCAAAAACTTGGAAGTCGGGTCCCCGTGTGTTGACCGAATACAACCTAGGTCAATGTATTAACACAGGCACTTCACTTCTTGCCCACCGACAACAAAAAAGGACTTCTTGCGGAATATTGTGGTGCGTAATGAAAAGAATATTTTTTTACGAGAATCACGAACGTGAAAAGTCATGGGAAGATTCAGGGCAACCCAGTATATCGACACCGAAACAGGGCATCCACTTGAAGAAGGCTCTCATGTGTATCTGGTTGGACATCAAGGGTGTATCCTATTACGAACTCCTGGAAACTGGTTAAGCGGTGACTGAGCAGCGCTATAGCCGACAATTGAACAAACTGAGCGGAGAGGCCAGACATCAGAAAATGCCATTTACTGGGCAAGAAAGCAGGTAAGTCATACTGCCTATGCATGACAACGGTCCACCTCACGTTACTCGCGCGACTCTGAAAATCCTCTTGAACTTGGGATGGGAAGTTCTGCCACTTGCGACATATTCACCAGACGTGGCCACCCTTCCGACTACTATTTGTTCCGGCTAATGCAGGAGCAGCACGCCCTAGTGGACAAACACTAGAAAAGGCCAAACGATGTGCGTAAATTCGTCGATGATGACTTTATTGCCTCCAAGCCTGCAAGTTTCTTTCGCAACGGCATCCGTACGTTACCTGACAGACAGCAGAATTCCAAGAATTAAATCTTTCTGTTAAATAAATCTGCTGAGGAACCTCCACAAATTGAAGTGCATATAGACTATAGTAGAAAAGGGTTCCTATTACTGCGGTCCACCACATTTGGTTTAGAACTGTCAAAATCACAGTCGATTCTTCAAATTAAGGTGCGAATCGGTGCACTGGATCGAATCGATTCCACAGCCACAAGTCCACGCTCTCATGACCGCGGCAGTCTGCTTGGTCAACTCGTCCCTCAGCGAAGGCCAGCCGCTGAGTGTTATGGAGGTAAGGGGATTGCGACCTCATGAGACTTCTTAACGATTCCACTGTCCACACCTTGAACCTTCCAGGCCATGGCTCTTGGATGTCCGGTAGTCGCTCGCAGCATCCCCGGCAACCTTGACCTCATTGACCATGAAAAAACAGGATTGATTTTCGATTCGCAGAATGTGAGTTCGCTATCAACTCGATTTGTGTTGATAATAGGCTTTCTTGAAGACGAAATAGAAGACAGTAGAATGTGACGCGTTCACCAAAACCCTTGTACTTCTAGGGCTTCAAGGACTGCTTGCAAAGACTGCTAACCGACGAGGCTCTGCGTGTCGCCATTTCGACAAGAGCCATGGAGAAGATGAAGAGGCCGGAATTTCAGCTGCACAACGAGGCTGCTGCTTACCTCGACCTGCTACGTGAACTCCAGACACGACAAACCCACTGGTAATGACAAAACAGCACAAACACCGAACGTCCGAAGACCTGCCCACACCGCTTGACTACTGTTTGAGTTAGACATATTACTGTGAAGTTTGAGTAACCTAAAAACCTTTGACCAGTTCATGGTTGCTTCATTTTCCCCACAATTTGCAAGTTTCTCAACCGAAATGTAGTTAGACAAAGTGTATTTGAAAAAAACAACCGCAGGGTGTACAACGAAACCCTAGAGCCTGGTATAGAGGAATCTGTGCAACCAGTAAGGAGCTTGGGGATCGAGGCTGTCTTTTGTCGGTCTGATGGCCATCAGAAATTCCGGAAGGGAAACACAGCGGTCTCCAGTGGCTAAAAGTGCAAAAAGCAGAAGTACAAAGCATTCCGTGGGACACCATCATCGACCAGATCAGGTGGTTGGTATCGATAACACCTGACATCACCTCAGCACATTACGCCTCGAAAATCTACTAGGTGTTTACAAAATTGACCAATCAGGAATCAGAAATGTCTGTCGCATCTGAGCAGATCCCTATTAGACCACTACTCTATCTCACTTAACCCAGACAGTAATTGTATCAGAAATGTTTTTAAGCACTAAATAGCCAACAACGTGGCTAAGAGGGCGCTAGTGAACCGCTGTAGAAAAAAAACAAGCAACAAGAGAGGTCGCCTGGACTTACGGTTGGGAAGAAGCGGTCGCAGCTGTTGCGCTGTGGGAATGCAAAACCAAATACGGAAGGCGAGTGTTTTGGCTCGAACCTCCGGCGACAGAGCCAGTTTCTCGGACAGGCTTCCAAAGAAGTACACGCGAAGACCCATTTGAATGTCTTGGGGGGGGAAAGTGAGGTAGTTGATTCAGTGGTGGAGACACATTACAATCTAATATTGCTAACACAAATTCGGGAATGGGGCTATTTGTGTAAACAGGAGCGGTTACTACATGCACACAGGAACGGACAGGAGTTGTGTTGAGTCAACAGAAGAATACTGTGAAGGCCCGCTTAGACGCTCAAACCTACCCTGAGCATGCATGCCAAACTGGTGGATTAGCCGTGTTGCCACGGCGTGCGCGAGAACACCGCTAGAGCCGAAGACGTTGGAAAGACGGCACAGCGGTTGATTTTGTGCCTCTTGGCCGAGGAATTCTGACGTGAGGAAGGCAGCTATTAGCCGAAGCTGCCACATGCAGGCTGGTTGCGTCCAATTAGCCAGGCAGTTCTCTGTCTGAAAGAGACAGGGGTCATTTGACGGTCGACAGTTTCCAGAGACTGCTGTGAACGGACCAATGTTGAAAACACGCGGCGGTTAGCTGCACACAGGAAAATTAATCTGGACGAAATGGCATAAGGGGCCTGTGACAGTCGATTTAAGTGACGTTAACCCCAATAACTGAATTTGGGGCGTTGGTATTGATCAGTAGACCGGCCATGGTGGCTAGGTGATCTCATTCGAACCGAGTTTTTTTAGCAAATCTGAGAGCTTGTTTTAACGAAGGAGGCATAGGCGCCAACCAGGATGATGAGAAAATGGGGGAAATAGCAGCCAGGGGCAAGGAACTCACGATTTTCTCGAAGTGAGCATAGGGGCGAGGGAAGGGCTCCTTGCAGACGAAGAAGTAGCCAGCCTCATCGAGTGATTTCCTAGATTAACAGAATGAATTGAATGTCGCTAGTATTCCGCCGGAGTTTTGCGCAACCACAAAACAATGTGCTGCGAATCCTGGTGTTTCACGAAAGTTTACTAACCCCCCCTGCAGAATCACTCAGCCAAATCTTGGTGTATTTGGGGGTATGACTTAAATTGTACAGATGTTTTTATCTAAAATATGTTTTGCGGTCTTTTGTGGTTTTGAAGGGATTGGACGCGAGGTTTCAGAACACCGAACGACAAGTCCACGTGAGTTGTAGAGTTTAGGATTGCAACTGACAAACAACACATTCGATGGCACTGCATTTTACACGAATTCCAACAAGAAAAAACATGCTTCCAAGGCAGAGGATTCAATTTGTAGTGTTCGCGGTGCCGACGTTGTGTTTCCTGTGAAACGTGTGGTTATCGGTACAGACGTTTTCGAAGTGGTGGTTTCCATCTTAGTGACCAGCCGCGCCCTGTACTGAGGCCTCGAAACTGTTAAGACGCGGAATTGCAAGCTACACTGGTTGAAGACTCCACGCTAACGCAACAAGAGCTAGCAACTCAGTAAGGAGTCACCTAAACAGATATTTCCAAACGCTGGACGATGTGCGTAAATTCGTCCATGATGACTCGAAGCCTAGGAGTTGCGTTTGCAACGGCATTCGTGCGTTACCTGAGATATTGGGCTACAAAATTAGGTTATAAACCCAATACAGTGCTTCTCTTTAGTTATCTCCGAATCCATAAACAAACACTGCCAATGCTTCACCAATGACATGCATCCTGCTGTTCACGCGGACAGCCAATCGACACTTGACCCTACGACGAGGTTGTCAGATGGGATTACAACAGCAATGGAATATTACTTGCCCCAGAATGAGTGTGAGACTCATTCTAGGGGCTAATCGAGAATTGTTTTTAAACCCTAAATACCACACAAAGATGGTCAACTTCAATTGGATGACCACGAGGTCATTCAACCAGTGACTGGTCGCTTGCTAATGAAATACTGGCTGTCTAAACCTACGTGGAACAAACGGTGCATTGTTTCAATAACTCTGCCTGAATTTTGACATTTGCCAGGCGATTTTTCGATTTGAAACAAACGCAACACCCACTCTCTTCAAAGAACATTGTAGGGTAGTTTTCGATCCATTTAACACAACCGAAATCCTTGAAAATTCAACTCATCTTGCAGGGCAAGATTAAGGAAATGCGTCGGGTGACGTGGAAGAAGTTCCTCCTTTAACCCCGAAAGTTTTTACGCTATAGGTTCAGCAAAATGCGTTATCATGAAGAAAGACTATGCCATTTCGGTTGACAGACGCTACACGTATTGCACAGATTTCAACATTAAGCTGGACGATATCAACAGTTATCGTGTAGCCACGTGGAAGATGTTCTTGAAATACTACTCCTTTCTGATCCATGAAGGTTGCGTTTCGTTGACACACCCAAGAGTACACGCGTTCGTCATCGTTGAAGATCGGGCTGGAACTTTTTGTGGAGTCACCCAGGACGCGTCATGGCCGATTACCACACCCACACACATCTTACCACGACTTTTTTGTTTTTCCAAAATTACACACACATCACTCACTTGAGTAGCTTCCACTCGATGGTCCCACGGTCAAAGACTGTCGACACCTTGCCACACGAAAGTTGGATCTAGAGAAATAGAAGCCTTGCGGAGTTAAAGCAAACAGAAATTGTGACCGTCTACACCGACACGCGTGAATGGCGCTTCCTTTTAACGGTACTTTAAAGTTTAATTTTAAAAAAGAATGAAGGCTTGCACATGCAAGCATGCCATAGAGCATATCGTAGCGCCTCGCACGCACTGATTTGCAACTTATGGCCACTGGACACGCCAACGCGTGATTAGCATAGGTGGCGCGAGGCAGTGGTTTCTTTAAAGGCTACTACTTTGTGCCCAAAAGTTGTCGAAGTGCCATCTTAAAGTTCGAAGCCATGAAGCAGAACATTCTGCTACAAGGAGACTGTGAGACGCCTCATTAGGGAGGTGTTGACGACCAAGCCGAAAGTTATGAGGACAAAATTGGGGAAGCAAGACTCACGCTGGATCCGTGTTCCCAGAAGTCGGACGGAAAAACGGCGGTTTGTTTGGAGACAATGCAATCGGGCCGATCCTTAAAGCCCCAAAAATGCGATTACTACTGGCATTCATAACAAATTCAACTATTTTTCAGAACCCTAATTGGGAGATGGATTGAGGGCCGGTGACAATAAAGTTTAAGTAGACCACAATTTGGTCCGCAATGCTTCAATTCGACTCTGGGTGATGCCAACTAGTTGATAGGCAAGTAAAATTTACCTTTTGAATGTCAAGTATGCAGATAACAAACGGATAGTGTGAGTAATCAACTGACCTTGTACCAACACTTCAAGGTCACTGGTTCAACCTGATTGGTCAAGGCGTTGACTCCGCATAGACGCCTCGGTTTCGTGGCGAGCACGTACAGGTGTCGCAGACACTGTAGATGGTACCTAGGAGGGGGGAAAATGCCTAATGTCATACAGTCTGAGGTCGATGTAACCGACACAAGAGAAAAGACAGCAAACTCGACTAGGGTGCTAGCCAATCAGGTTTGTAAGATTCGTAAAGAAAAGCAGCCAATCGTACCAATTGTCGCCGGCGTAAACAGGGTAGCGAGGGAAAAAGGCGACCGTTAATAGGGCCGCTGCCTCGGGGGTGTTAGAGAGGGTTAGTCTGAAAAAGGAAAGACAGAGGAGACGATGATGAGTCACGGGGTGGTGCACAGTCCAGACATAATTGATGGCATTTTACAAATTATTTGCTAGCTGCTTCAGGTCTCTTTGACAATCGAGACAACGTGGCGTTGATTGGTCAATTTTCTAGGACAAAGAACGACGTTGTATAGGGTTAATAGCACAAACAACAAGGCCTCAAGTTCAGCGCCACAGTGAAACGGCCAATACACATTAGTTTCACATCACCTAACAACCAGTTTGCCCTAGACACGTGATGATTTGAGGAAAACCGATATCAGTTCGCAGGTTTTACGTCACAATCATTCTCAATTCTCCTACAACAGTTATGTACCAATATTCTCTAAAAAATTACAACAATAAAAACAAACTCAAAACTACAAGACTTCAATAAAGGAAGATTAGCAACTAATCAGGGTGGAACGAAGCGCAGTAGTGTAGTCTTTAAGAATGAGTCCATTGTGCATTGTTGGCCTGTCAAACACGTATTTGATTAACACCTCGGCAAGTGATCGTAATGACGCAGCCACATTTTACCAGACAGCAACAAAAACGCGTTTTTTGCATGTCTGAGTCTTGCTTACGAGTTCTAGACCAAACAGCGCACTGCCAGAGTCACCCAGACACTTAAGTTTAAAACGAAAAACTCGAGATGCTGAACAACACGCTTTCAAACATGGCACTGCTGAGTGAATCGAAGGCCTTTAGGAAACTCTGTTACACGTTAGAGTGTTTGAACGGGCCACTCACCGCCCCCCTCCAAGGAAAAGCAGTCCGACAACACTGCTGTAGATCATCTGGAGAGTGAAGTCGGGCGCCAAGACAGAGCCGAGGATGGCGGCAGTGGAAACGGGCAGATTGCCCGGACTGCCGGTCGGCAATGTCTGGACGTTCAGTGCCGCCTGCGCAGCTGTGGCAGCCACCTGAAAAAGACGTCCCGTCTCCGCCGAAGAAGGCCAGCCCTTGGAGGAAGTGGACGCGGCCGTCTTGTGGAACCTGCCGAAGAGGCGGATGGCTCGCAGCTTGCGAACCAGTCGGAGGACGGTGAGGTTCCCTGAACCTGCCAGGACCATGGCTAGGGAAAGGAGACAGGTGGCTGCGGCGTGTCGCACCGCCTGCTCCATCGGCGGGAGGTCGGTGAGCTTCGGCGGGGTGGAGGCGCTGGTGATGAAGGAGCTCTGCTGGCCGGTGGAGGAAGACGCCGCCTCGGTTAGTGAATCCCGCTTCTCCGTGGAACTGGTGTGGTTTGGAGGCCACCAATCACCACTCAGAAAGCTAATTGTAATCTTATGCTAAAGAAAAAATTGAAACAAGTGGAGGCGGTATACGCTTAGTGAAAAACTCGACGCGAAGTGATCAAGTAGCTACGTGCATTCACTCATCAGAACAAAGGCGATTTGAGGGAAATCGCTCGGCTAGTCTGCTTGTGTGAAGCACGTACCTAGAATACAACATGGAGTCGTCTGATGGGATTTTTGCCAACGAAACTGTCTTCATCAGACAGATTTTGCCCACACGCTAGATTTAGCGCGTCATTCAAACAACCTGAGAACCTCACACTTCATTCGACCATCACCTAAACAGAGAACCCGAGACATGAGATCGCAGTACCACAGCGTTAGCGGTAGTGGAATGAACAAACTTCACCAGAACATCGTCTAGAGAATGCTGGAACTGCGGGCACTAATCATCGCCTCAACGCTGTTACAAGTGATCGTCAACTGCCTTGATGAACCATCCACTTTAGACTAGACAGAGAATCATTCATAAAACAACCTACTGGATCCTGTGTCGTTCAACTTGGAGGCTTGGCTTAAAGAGGCTCGCTCTGAATCCACTTAAAGATAAACAGCACGGTGATAAAATGACTGTGTAGCGAGTCACGATGATTCACGTCCATCAGATCTGTCCCCCCGTGATCTGACACATCACCCCTTTTTTCACTAATGCGGAACCGTATGTTCATCCACAACCTGCGCATGTATCTCCCCCACTACACAGTCCACCCATGAGGCTATTCAATGACCTTGAAGAGCCTCTCACTCGGATCTTAATTAGGAATGTTTGACGATCAATTTGTCGAAGTGGATCAATAAAACAGTTGTGGGTTATTCTCATTGGACGAACACCGTCGGCTCAGACATTTGACCAATAAAAAGCAAGCCAGTCGTGTGCCTACTTAGGCCTAATTGTGATGTGGCCAAACGGACATCAGCTGTTCGAAGAGTGCGATTATTCGCGAAACGACGGTGCCGCAGTGCCCCACATTTGAAACAGCTGTTTGATGCATTGGCTGAAAACCCACTAAGACGGCCAGACGCCGCTAACAAGGACATATCCCAGCCATCAAGCGCCCAACACAAATTCGGCAACACGATGGCGACGAACGATTGTGACACCGTGTTTGCCCACCGCCGATTGGACAAGCCCAAACGCGCGAGTTAGATTTGATCTAGGAAAGACCCAAGAACACACAATCAGCCCATTGATCTGTCGGTACCAAAGTTATTAAAGTCATACAAAGTTGGGATACACGTTTAGACGTCAACGCGAGATACACGTCAGAACATACCAATAGCTCCGTTGCATTGGGATCGCAGGTACCGGCATACTTTAAACCAATCGCAAAGCAGGCCCCGACAAGGATATTCAAGTAGGAGAGACTGGAAAAGGAAGGTTGATTGAAGCCAATCTATGAAATCAAGAAACTAAAGCACAGCACATGACGTCGAAGCCTACCTGATTGTCGAATAGTCAATAAGCGGAGACGTGGAGGCGTCGGGGAGGGTGAAGGAGTTGTAAGCATGGATTATTGGGAGTTTGGGTGAGAGTGGTTGTCGCCGCGGCTGGCGCCGACCCAAACAGCTCGTTCCGCTGAGTGTTCTGCCTCTCGGCTGCCTGTTCTCGACATCCGTCTCCGTGGACATGACCAGCGGTGAAGCGGGGTCCTCCGCACCTTCAACCTTAGCAATGCCTTCTTCTTTCGGCGGTCTCGGCGTGAGGACACTCAGAATACACGCTGGAACCCGCGCCTGTATCCAGTCGGCGGTGGCTTCAACTTTGTCAAAATTTACCAAGCCCCAAGCGATCGTCCGGAGAGCAAGCAGATCCGGCCGAACTGACTCGAGTTCGCGGTGGGTGTTGGGCGCTTGAAGCCACTTTGAGACGGTTTCACTGCCAGTGCCTAGGTAGATGAAACCGAGAGCGATTATCGCTCCGGGGGCAGAGACGTCGCTGTTGTAGGCGTCGCGCTCCCTAATCTGTTGGCTGTGGTTGGATTGAGAGGCAGCGCCGATCGGGGGTAGGCGGTGGTGGTGCGTTGCAGTCGATCCTCGAAGGGGAACTGCAGGCGCGGGGACGGGGTTCTCGGCAGTTCCAATTTCGGAGGTGAGGTTAACACCACCACACTCCTGAATGATCGACTCCAGAGGATCCACGGCTGCCAAGAGTCGGCTGGTTTCAATTGGTGGGACGGTGTAGGTGGCTGCTGACGCTGCTGTACCCGTGGGGACACCCAAATCGGCAAGTTCTTCGATGGGTATGGACGAGGTGTCCTCGGGGGTCGTGAGGAAGGAGGTCTCGCGGTGGAGCTTCTTGGTGAGCACCCGCGACCGGCCGGGAACAGCAAGCAAGTGAGGTTGCAGGAATTGGGGCAAGGGGTGGCCCGGCGGTGGACGGGGGATGTTTATGCAGAGCGCATCAACTGTTTGGCCGGGACCGTCGTAGCATGCATCCAGGCTGTACAGGGTCGAGTCTCTCCGGCCACCGGTCATGTACGCGTAGAGCGTGTTCGCAACTGCCAGATCCGACAGACCACACGGGGAATCACCTCGCTAGGCCAAACGTAAAATCACGCGGTTAGACAACACGCCAGAAGGGGGCTACAAAGGGGAACGCCTCCGCCAGAAGGATGTACCTGGAGCAAAACCAAGCCCAGTGCGAGGCCGGCAGACAGCGAGAGGAGTTCACGGCTGTCGCCAGCGAAACCTCCCGTACCGCCGGCACACGCAGTCTTCTGACCGTTGGAGCTGGCGTCGGGGGTGGACGTGTCGTTTGTGTTTGTGCCGCCGCCGCCGCCACCGGCAGTGGACCGGTCGTTCGAAGAGCCAGCGTTGGCCGAGACACAGCCGTTGGACGTGGACCCCAGGGGTTTGCCTAGCTCCGCCAGGAGGATGCTGGCAATGTGTCTGTGCGCGGATCCGAGGAAGAGAAGGCCCAGACCGAAGGCGGACGCGGCCTGGCAAATCGACGGCACGCTCATTTCGATGAGCACGGGCTCCGGCAGCAAGAGGGGACGGTAGTGCACAGCAAGGAGACGAAGGGTGGCCTGGTCCATGGTTCCACGCTTACCGGCGCACAGACCTATTCGAATGACCAAAGTCGGAGTTGATGAGGCATCAACTCAGCTGTCTCCAGGGGATTTGAAATCAGAAAAATGTCGGTGGTTTCTTACAACTTCGTCATAGGAAGCAAATACGGGAAAATGGACACAGGAATATGATAAATACGACTAAAATTTAAATGAAATACGAGGGAAAGAATCAAGTGATGATAGCTACTTTTACATCAATTCCGACCCATGCAAATATAGGGTTATGAGCTTAAAATCTCACTTAAAATAGACACATTTTTGCGATCTTCTGCGGTTTGAAAGGATCAGAAGCAAGGTCTCAGAACACCCAACGAAAAGCCCACATAAGTAACATAACCCCTCAAAATAGCAGTGTGCGACGATGACAACTGACAAGTATTAGCAGAATCGATGTCACTTATTTTTATACGAATCCAGACCAGGTAACATTGCTTCGAAAGCATGGAGGGAATCAATTTGTAGTGCTTTTGGTGTCGACGTTGTGTCTTCTGTGAAACGAGTAATTATCGGTACAAACGTCGGGGTGGTGATTTCCATCTTAGTGACTAGCCGCGCCCCGGACAACAGCCTTCACACTTTGAAGATGCGTAACTACAAGCTATACCGGTCGAAGACTCCACGCTAACGCAACAAGAGCCTGCGGCTCAGTTTGGAGTCACCCAAGCAACTGCTTCAAAGCATTTGCACCACCGAATGAGGACAATTCAAATACTTGGAAGTTGGGTGCCACTTGTCCTGATCGAACACAAGCTAGATCAACGTATGCACACATGCCTCTCACCGTTTACCCACCGACAACAAAAAAGAAAATTGTAGCTGTTGATGAGAAGCATATTTGCTGTTGCGAGAATCCCAAACGCAAAAAAGGTGTAGTGGGTAGAGCCCAGGCAGCCCAATGAATCGGCGCCCAAATCGGACACCCACCTGACGAAGGTATCTGCATATGTGTATCAGGTGGAACATGAAGTGTGCATCAATTTATTACGAACTCCAGGAAAATGGTCAGACAATGACTGCACTAGCTGCAGAGATTTTGCTCGAACAAAATAAGCAAGTTGAAAAAGCGATCGACACTTATTTAAGAAATGGTGGAATAATGAAAGATTTGGCATTCTGTCCCAATAAATGGCAGTCGACATTGGAAATATAGTACGAACTCCTGTCGAAAGAAGAAATCTATGGGAACCCAAATAAACCTGTTGGATGTGTAGAGGCGATGGTGGCGACCACTATCGACTCACTCCGTTGCCACCCAATAACCACACGTGTGTTTGCCGTTAATTTCACTCAATTAAAGTCGCCCAGGGACGGTGTGATTCGATTCTGCCCTCCGTGAATCCACCAGCAAGGCCTTTGTTAGGAGGCAGTTGGTAAAAGTGGTTGCGGAACCAACGAAGGTTAACCCGTGGTAGGCCACTGCCTGTGAAAAAGTTACATCACTTGCCGAGAATGACGGCAGCGTTGGACAGGTCGTGCACCTGGACGGTGAATTCACGGATGTACTGAGGCGAGAGTTTGTTCAGATGGCCGTTCAGTCCCAGTCCGTACAGGAAGCCGGCTTGCGTGGGCGAATACGGGCAGGCGGAAGGCGGCGTTGAGTTGAGGACGGCTGCTGAGGTCGCGCCACCGAGGGCGATGGCTTTGCAGTTTTGCACTATCCACGTTGCATCAATCTACAATCAACGTAAGAGATCCTCAGTTTATGATGTTCATGCAATTCAACAAGTTTGCGCTATTTTAAAAAAAACTCAAACCGAATGTCGACCACGTGTACACAGGAAGGACTTGGGGGGCGTTTCAGTGGCCACAACACCTGAGAGGACAAGTAAACGTCGGAGCCAATGTGTGTGTGTGTTATTCCGACTGTTCGTCTATCGTTCCAGGAGGAACCCGAGCAAGTTGGAAAGAGACGTGCGTCGGGTGTTCTTGAAACTAACATAGGTCTTGCAGTAAGACAAGAGAGTTGGGATGTTCTCCTTTAAACACCCAGCTGAAGGAAAAGGACACCAGCTCCCATGTTTGACTATTTGCGGCCCGCGAAACATACGCTCGAAAATGATTGGTGCAACGTGTGGACTCTAGGTCTCATCCACACCAGCGTGAAAGTAGATGGATCCATGACCAGACATAGCCTTCGAAGCGGTTATAAGCGCCGTCCAAGTTGTTTACTGGAAGTGTTCGGATCGTGGCAACCTTCGTGAACTTAACACTTCTTTGGTTCATACTTGCCAAGGTAGGTTTCAAACTACGAGGGCTGAAAACAACGAAAGAGTGGCTTCTGTCAAGAAAAGTGTCGAAAACAGGCAACATGAAAAGGCATTTAGTCGGAGGCGGTGGCACTAGAGTGACCCTAACGAACCGATCCCCCTTTAAGGATCATTCTCGACCTTCCGGAAACAGGACTCCCAAAAATAGAACTCCTTTCAGCGGAAACGGAGCTAATGTTTACTGCAAATCACTATCCCAGCGGCGAGGAATCCTCTGTGCTGAATTGTGTCAGCTCGAGTCTACCATCGCTGTCGCCACGTGTTCGGAGATAGCGAAACAGCACTACCTTCTGGGAATACGTCTGGGTGTGCACTTGTGTACATCAGTGGCCTACACGGAATGAGTTGTGTCTCCATCGACTCTGGTCGTCCTACCGAAAAAAAAACCGAAAAAAAACCGAACTTCTCAGATGTTCACGGCAAATATGGTGACTGTTGGATTGCCGGTTGAAGGTGGATGAACTGTCAAAATGACTCCTCAAGGTCGTGAGCGGAGAGTAGGTGACTTCGGAGTGATTCATGGTCACTGAAAAACGCCTTTATGAAAACAAGCTTACCGAGGCGTGGGGCGAGATCATAAGACCAGCAGCGACGCCGTTGTGGAAGTCGGGCCAATGGCGGGCGGCCAGGACGGCGGGTGTGTGGAGGATGTTGTTTGACGAGACCGCAGAGGCGGCCGAGAGGGTGGCATTGGAGGCGAGAGCGGCCAAACGACGCAACGCGCTGCCGCTGCCACCACCACCACCGCCGCCCCCTGCCCCAGCGCCACCGCCCTCGTTTGCGCCAACCCCATTCGCATCGCTGGGTTGCAGCAGGCGTGACAACGAACACGCCGTCTGTTTAGACAAGAAAAAAGACGTTTACCCTCAGCTCACGTGACCACTAGAAAACATCCTAGCTGGTCGAAGAGGCGGTAAACTAACCCCAAGAGAGCTAGCACAGCCACTGGCGACCACGGCTGCGATTACAGCGAGAGCGCTTGCGTTTCCTGGGTGGTCAGAGGCTGCGGATCCGCCAATCACCTCGGCGGACGCCCGTCCAGTTTCGGCGAGACTTCCACGCGCAAGGTCCTGGTGCACCGGCAGGCCGGACAGAGGGGAAACCACAGCCCTGCCACGCAGGCAAAGGGGGTAGACGGGGAGAAGGGGAGGGGGTGACGCAACCAGACTCCCCAGGCCCAGCATCCCCCTGCCCAGGGGCAGCGCGGAGGTGCGTTGACAGGCGGCAGCCAAGTGCATATCGAGACGCGCTTTGGCGATGTTGGCTGCGGCCGCGCCCGGAGAAGTCTCGGTGTTGGTGGAGTGGGGGAAGATTGGCGGTCCGAATGTGGACTCGTCGGTGCAGATCCGTGGGAGCCAGATGTGGCTGCTGGTCTGCACCAGCTTGTAGGCCTCTTGTAAGCGAAGATCCTTTGAGAACAGCGGACAATTAGTACATTTAATCGAGTGACAGGTTATGCAAGAATGAATCAAGTGACCAACCTCAAATGAGACCTGACACGCGGGGTTGTTCTCCAGTGTGGTGAGCAGAAAGTGCCGCGAGGCCAGCATGCTTGTGTAGGCGCTACCAACACAACCGTCTCTGTTAGCGGAACTCGGTGTGGTCAGGATGGGCAGCACGATGCTGGCCCAACGCTCTGCGGGACTCCAGGCTTGGCAGAGGTCCTGATTGCCCTCCTGACGACGGGGCTCCAGCGACCGCGAACAGAGGATGTGTGGGAGGTGGCTGCGCGTCGTGGCGCTCGACTGACTGAGCAAGGCGCCCGAGCACCGCATGATTTCAAACTGGCGGGCCAAATCGCGGCGTCCTTGGTAAAACAAAAAGGACCACGTTGAAATCGAAGATTCGAGTCTAGTCCACATTTATTAATTCCAATTTATCGATTAGCTGCAAGTCAGTAGTCAATTTATCTGACCTTCTTGGTTACCCTAGGGCATCTGCGTATAGCATCCGGGTCGAATTTATGGGTCTTTTCATCTCTACCAAGCACAAACAAACGGTGTATCCAGCAAGTCATTCTAACACTGACTTAGAGTCTTACACAATATGGAAATGAGTTGAATTGGAGTCAAAAGCGAAGGAATTGGATATTTGTGTGCGTCTTTACAACACAAACATTGTCTGTGACAAACAAAAAGGATGATGCAACAACTTAAAAACGGAGCAAATCGAGCAGCAGTTTTTAACGGACGGCCCGGGCAGTATGTGTGGAATCGTCAAATAAATTAATTTTTGCAAGATGTTCTACTAGCAGTTTATTAGTAGCAATGTAATATATTAAAAGTTTTCAGGAACCGTGAACAGAAGACGAACTTCACAGGACTGACTTTACCGATTAATCGATAAATTTCTGGTGCACAATTGGTTGGTGGAGAGGCCTGGCAGGCAGCCAATGCGGTTTGTAGGATGCATGTGTAGGCCGGTGGCAACTGAGCAAGTCTGTTCGTCAACTGCATGCCCAGTTCACTGAGAAATAGAACGGCTCGTTGGTACGGAAGGCTGCTCTCAGATTGCTGATGGCTTCTGCCATCTTCAGCCTTAACGAAGGCGGTTGCGAAGGCCAGTAGGATGGGGTTTTGTGCGGCTGCTTTGACAAAGTCTACGAAGGAAACAAAAAACACCTCAACGATATCAGCAAACTCCGGATGGCAATTCGATTAGACGTCGCAAACAGACAGCGCTGTTGAAACAGCGGGCAATGCTTAATTGACCCTCTTATAACTTTAGGCTAGCGTAGCCAATGGCCAGTGGAGTTATTGACAGTTCTATCACGCCATTGGTTCAATCTTATGCAAACGAATGACGATTGGTCACAACATACCCAATCACAAATGCTAGGCTTTCGACCTTACCAGGCGTGGAATCGGTCCCAGAGGTCGCAATCACTCCGGCTGGATCTCTTCTTTTACCCTCCTCGTAGCCAATCGGCTCAATCCTCTCCGTCCAAAGGCGAACGGCGTGTCTGAAGGCATCACCATCGGCTTCCACAGTCACGCGCTGACTCATGCTGAGCACGAGCGATGCAAGCGCGGCCGCAGTGTCGTTCACACCGACCACGTGGACGTAGGGGGCACTGCCTCGCGTGCTCAAGGTCGAGACGCACCACCGACTCAGAGAGGGCGCGGATTGGTGGGAGGCTCGGACATGCGGCGACCAGACCAGACACTGGGCCACCTCCGTGGGCAGCCGGGGAATCGAGTAAAGGCCGCTCGGGGTCAGAGTCGACACACCACTCATCGAGTAGTACTCCACGTAGGACGAGAAACGTGCGTACCTGTCGGTGCAAAAATGGTGAGTAGTGACAGTCACAACGGAGGACACGCGTCTTGGCACATTGTTACCTTGCGAGGATGTGGTTCAAGATGGCGAGAACTTTGATTTGGTCGGCCAAGAAGACGTTGAGGTGATCGTTCTGCGGAGGATAAAGATATGCGTTAAAAAACAGCAGGTTTAAAGGCCCCGGTATCATTGATTCCACAATCACCACCTACCTCGAACACCATGTGTAGACAGAAGAGCACGTCTGGAAGGTGTTGAACAGCTTTCCAACGAGGCAAGTCTCTAACTCTGAGGCCTACCGCGAAATCACTTCCAGGAGCCTCAAGTCCGCCGAGCAGTTCCATCTTCACGTCGTCCGGTGTGTCGGAGGACTCGTTCTTCCTCGCTCTGAGCCTCTTCAAATCGCCGCTGCCGGTCTCAATTGGGGAGGCCGGTGCGGAACCACCTTCAGGAACGAGACCGAAGGTCATGAGGATGAAGCGCGCGAAGGAGGGGAGTTCGCCGGTGCCGACGTCTCCTGTGGGTGGATTTCGGTGGCGGAACCAACTAGTCAGCAAGTGAAGGGTGACGTCGCAGGGCAGGACACAGCGGAAGGCATCCAGACAATGGCGGACTGAAAGGAAGGAGGCACTGCACATCCACCCAATTACAAATCGAGTTAGCTCCAGAGCCTGGGATTTACAATCTAGCAAAGCCAAGACACACCGAAAGACTAACCTAGTGTGTTGCTTGCTAGAACCGGAAGCTGGATTTGTAGCTCCCTCTCGCAGACCGGAGTTTGGCTTTCAGGGGCCGCGGAAACGTCTTCAAAATCGACATTAGGACGCCTCATGAAGGCGAGTGTGAATTGACGTCCTGCTGGCAAGCACAAACGCCATGTTGCGAACGACTTCGCCTCGCAAGAGGCGACCGGCACGAGGGCCAGGTGAGATGTCTAGTGAGACGGGAATCGTTTGCAAACACCGCTACAATTGGTTTATAAGTAACATGATATTTTAACGTACAGCCGCCGCTAGATTGGCCTCGAATCGCGACTCCGAAAACCCCGAATTGGGCTCGCCATTGGTGATTACCGAAAGAAGTTCTGTAATCTTGGCCTTAGCCGTAGAAAGTGCCACTACGGAGCTCGGTGGCCGAACAGTTAGCGGACGAAGACTGCTTGGATGAAGGCCGACTGGCGGTAAGGGGGAAAATAATGCCGGAACCACGCCAAGCACGCAAACCTGAAAAAATCGATAACTACGTGCTACAGAAGCCGAAAGGATTAGGGGTAGGAGCAACGGTTGGGCCAATTTTGTGGTGGGTATGTTGTTCTTCAGAGACATACCCTTGTGATGCCAGAGTAGAGTATTATCGATTTGCTAGCCTCCAAGCACACGGTCATCCGCGACTGCGGAACGTAGACGGCATCCACAGCGGGCAGATATGACGCGTGTGGGTCCAAGGTCAAACCGGCTTCATCGCCGTCGTCATCATCATCACCATCCCCGTCGCCTTCAGCGCCCACCGACCGGTCTGTGCTTTGAACACGCAAGCAAATGAGTCGGCGATTCGGGCTTAACAGGCATACATACAGTCGGTTGATGAGATCCTCGGCTAGAAAGGCCCGTGGCCTCAGAGGGCCAGTTTCCGGGGCCAGCGGACTGTGATTGGCTTCGTCGCGGCGGATCGATGAGTTCCTGGGGGTCAGTGAGGGACGCGTGGTCGCGCGACCCGACAGGGCCGCGACACGCGGATTCGGCAGCAGA